TGGTGGTGCAGGAGGGGGAGCAGGCCGGGGAGCAGGGACACCGTCGACAAGCCTCATGCAGCAGGGAACGACCAGGGAACAGGCAGGGGACGAGCGGGGGAGGGCAGGAAGCGGGCGGGCTACAGCTGCAGCGCGCAGGGGCGCGATCGGCGCGTCGGGCTTCGATCATAGTTTAGCTTCTGTATGTTGGCTAGCCTGAGCTAATATCATTCCATTAGTGCTTCTATCTACAGTCCGATCAGATGAGATAGCCAAAGACAGGCTACATGAGCTAGTAGTTATAAATATGCGTGTCCCTATTGCTTCCCTAGCCCACCTCCGCCGAGGCTTTCAAACCCTCTAGGATGCCAATATGAAGCCGGGATAGCATTCACCTTATCTACGCCCCGGAACCGTAGCTAATCTTATCTATCCGTGTGCATCTGGACCCGCTACAAAAGGTGGGGATTAAACGCGGTTAGGTGGGCTCAACGCGTCTGCCTAGTGGTGCCTTGTACGTAGTGATCGTGCAACCCTTGCAGTCCCGCTGACAAGTCTGCAGGTGCGATAAACCCCTCTGGAGATCCCGAGTTTGAGGACCAGGACGGCGTTCCTCGCGATACCGCGCTTGCCATCTCCGACTCGAAGATTCGCGTCATCCAGAACTGCTCAATCAACACAGAAGGCTGGGACGCTGGCTGGGTCGGCGGCCCCGGGCCCGACGACGAGACAGAGTATCTCATCTCCCACGGTCCCATCATCATGGTCCAAACGTTTGCGCTCCCTATCCTGCATCTGGCCACGTGCGGACGCGTCACGCCATTGCGACTTTGGCGTCTGGCGATGCACAAGGGCATGTCGATGAAGCACTTCGACGAACCTGGGATCCCTGGGGTGCACTATGGAGAGGTGCATGAGCACAGATACACGGAGCTGTACGATGAGCGTCTGCCTCCGCATTTCTTAGATGTGGACGAGATTGTCGCGCTCGAAGAGCTTGGCGACGTGGGGGCCATCAAGTCAGCCATTGTGCACCGAGGTGGCTTTTGGATGTGGATGAGGCCCGATAAGTGCGGCCAGTTTCGCGCCTTTCGTGATCATCTTCTAACGACGGTCATCCGTAGCTTTCCTCTAAAGGCTACATCAGAGCCTCTATCCCCATCTTTGACATCTCCGCCTAAAACACTGGGCCCCTCAGCAGGCCTTACTTCTGCGCTCGAGAATCTGCCCTTCGAGCTCTTGTGCATGATCACAGTTGAAGGCTCGCTATCCTCGTTGCTGTCCCTAACGTTGACATCCCGCACTCTCAGGTCTAAGTATTTCCATTCGGAAGAAGGCAGGAATAGCATTGCTAGGATGTGGATCCAACGGCAAGCGCCATGGTACATCCCCACGACGAAAGACGCGGAGGCGCAGTTCGAGCTTGACAGGTTGCGAAATGTGGGCGCGTGGGGGTACCTGCAGCGGTGCTGTGCCAGCGCCTCCATGAGGAACAGGAGGCGCATCTGGCAGGTCGCTGAACGTATCGAGCAGCTTGTGGACGCAGATAAAATCGGGTCTTCTGCATTTGCAACCCATTAGGTCGTTCCTATTGCCCTGACCGATTCTTATCTCTTGCTGAATGACATCTTGATGCACGACTACGGTAGCCGTTGTCTGAAACCATGCGTATGTATGCACGTTTGGAAAGCTGATTTTCGGCGTCATTTGGAGTTGAAATGTCGAGACTCGTGCAGGCGCCCCGTGCTCGAGTGTCTATCAGAATGACGTTAACAAAGGGCAGACATCCCGTCGCAGATTACTTTTCCCAAAGAAGTCTCGTGGGTTGCTACTAAGCACGGCGCAATCAACATTTCTGGTGTGGACCCTGCTGGTGAGATCAATGGTGTACTCTCGCTTCCAAGGAACTTGGAAACCTGGAAGGTTCCAAAGACGATCTTGGCAATGTAGGGAAACCTCCAGCAATGGATATTCGATTTGGGGTAATCTCTGCTAGGTTCACCGAATGGGATGCGCCTCAACGTTCTTCTTGCATGCGCCGAAGTCCAACGGCGAGGTGCAGTCACCCTGAAGACACCGTAACTTCATTGAATAAGAAGGACCCGAGCGACAAACAGCCATACTGGCGCCAGCAGTATTCTGTCGTAAGGTGGGTTTTCATTCATTTATATACTATGCGAAGTGCGTCCTCGGAGCATATGAGAGCATATGTCTTCTGATCAGTCCTCCTGACAAACCATCCGGCCGCAGCCCCGAGCATATCACCCTTATCTAAAGTTTGTGGATGTTCTCTAAAAGAACGAAAGCCGGAGTTGGAGATCGCATCCCGGGACTCATCGGAATGTATGGCAGACAGTCGTTCGACGCAAAGATAACCACTAAAGTTTCTGAGACTGGTGTGCATGCTTCGCTTCTTCTTCTTCTTCTCTTTTGAGCTGTTACTTTAACGTTTAACAGTCAAGCTACAAATACAAAGGTGGGGTGCTGGAAGTAATTTCGTTCATGTGTTAAACATGGTGTTCTGAGTACTCGTTTACATTTCCAGACACGGCAGTATGATGTCTGCGTAAAGCTCTTGCGCTGCCGCTGACCCGGTCGCGCCAGATCCTTCTAATCCTTCCTGACCTTCGCTTTTGGCTACATCGGCGCCTTTTATCATAGGTGAAGGGTCCGCGCTAGTATTTCATAGGAAAATCCGCCTGATGATCGTTCTTCGCTCGGCAGTCAAGTCACCAAGTTGGTAATTCCGACAGATGGACTTAACATGGACGCGCCTCACGAGCAAACCTTGCTACATCGTCACAGAATTTTGCAATTTCTCGCGCATATCATCACGATAAACTAGTTCCGACGTCAGCTGCGTTAGTGGACTTCTGTTTAGGGTTTGCGGGTAGAAACGATGCAGCTTCCAGTAAACGACAAACTCTAACGTGAGGTGTTCGCGATGAAGCTAGAAGCAAGAAATAGCTCAACGCTCCGCTAGGTGAGAGTGAAGCCAAGAGAGATCAAGATGCTACTTCAGGTAATAAACAAGGACCTGCCAATTCTTGCCTAGCTAATACTTGGCGCGGTAGCAGTCAATCATTCCGTCGCTTGTCGACTGAAAATGCAGCGTCGGTGCGGATGCCTCAAGTAATTCGGCAGTCAACAGTGAAACATGACCAGTTAATGCACAAATGCACAAGGAAGCAGAGCTTCGTCTTCGACACTTTGCACATGCGGATTCTACCAGCTAGTAGATTGCGAGCGAGTCAATCCAAGTGTTTCTTCCAAGTCCGTGATTCGAGGACTCAGGACGATACATTTATTTACCCAAAAGGGGTTGTGCCAAGATCGCCAAGGCCAGACCCTGTCTTCCTGATAGACGCCCGTGGTCCGCGCGACAAGGCCCACCTTCGCGCCTTTCAGCTTCGGACGCGCATGGTTGTTACCGGGCAAGCTCTCACCGAGTCGCAAGGCGGCCACTCAGGGATGTGAAAAGGTACGAATACGTCGAGTCAGACACGGCACGCATGAGTCAACGCGACGCGGATCACGCTAGGCGCTTGCAAGCCATGAGTCTCTGACCCACATTGCCTTCTCGACAAGTTTGACAGCGGGGTTTGGTGGTTTATGACATCCGCGTGTTGGAAAAGCTGTAAACTGACATGTTTGACAGCGCCGAGTCAAGCGGGCGTTAATCCCCTCCGTGTCCCTGACAATCAAATGAACTCAAACAAGACGCCGTCGACAACGTTATAAAGGGCCCTCCTTTCTGCAAAGCGTTCCTTGTGCCTTCTCTTTCGTATACCTCTGCCTTGATTGTTCCTCACCTCCCAACTATCCTACCATGGTCCAGTTCACTCCTTTGATCGTCGCCCTCGGTGCTGCAGCCTATGGTGCTCTATTCACCTCTCCTTGCTTGTCAATGAACCACTGACAGGCGCCCTGTCTCTAGCCAGCGCTGCCTACCCCGTCAACGAACACTTCGCCCGTCAGTTGAGCACAGGGGACCTTCCCTCGCAGTGCCAGTCTCCTTGTGGTGTCATTAACTCTATCACCGTGAGTTCCTTTGGGCTGTGCGGTTTCAGCAGGTGTTAACAGAGTGTTGTGGCAGTCATGCGGCACCAGCCTCTCCTGCATTTGCTCCTCTAGCAACATGAACAACTTCCAGACGTGCTTGAACTGCCTCGCTTCTGCCGACCCTACCGTTGCGGAGGAGGCCTCCTCGGCCATCGATACCTTCAACCAGGGTTGCGCTGGCCAGGGTGCAGGCTCCCTCACAGTTCGTACACCCCTCGTTTTACCACGCCAACAATCGTATTTACTTTCGGGGTGATAGGCTCCTGCCGGTGGTAGCTCACCCACTAGCACTGCTCCGAGCTCGGGCAGCTCTAGCGGCTCCAGCTCTGGTGGCTCCAGCTCCTCTGGCGATTCGTCGGGCAGCTCTGGCTCTGGCTCTAGCAGCAACCCCCTCGGTGGCAAAACCGGCGGCGCTTCTGGCCTTGTAGCGACCTCTGGTCTCGCCGTTGTTGTGGCCGTCGCCGGTGTTGCTCTCGCTCTCTGAGCCTCGCGTTGGGCTACCATCCTTCTTTTTCCGTACCTCATTTTGAGACATGACTATACCTGGCTCTTGATACGTTATTCACCGCCCGGTATCGTCATTCATTTGGTCGTTAATGCAAACACTGTCGTTTTTGGGTAAATATCAGTCGTAGTAAGGAAAGATTGTCACTTGCCACATCTCAGTCGGTCGAATTCCGCTCAAACCCTTTGACTGGCTAGAACTGCAAAGAAGCAGCGCTCGCATGATGATTGTAATGCGACATCTACATTGTACTGTCATGCATCAGAACCAGGCAAGATATAATCGTTTTAGCGCCCCACTGTATGATGTGTTATGCTTAGGGTAGAACTCCTAAGTTCAGCAGTTTGTTCGTGTCTTTCGCAGAAAACTGTGCTCCGTTCAAAAGACAGCACGAAAATGGATCCCTTTCAACAGGCATTAAGCGCTAAGCTTTAAGCTTTAGCAAGAGAAGTGTGCAGCTTTACATCCACTGCAGACAAACTGCGATTTTTCTGTTACAAAAAGTGATTTAAGAAGGCGGATAGATGAAAGCCTTTTTCACCCATCTTTTGCTGTGCGAAAAGTTACTGAAAAGTTGGCCCTTTTTCTCCGGAGCTTGAATTTGTGAGCGGAGAATGGATATAAACACGTCTAAATCCGGAAGGTGGATACCAAATGCGGTAATCTGTACATTTTACAAGAGCAAATTTGACCCAAACATCGGCTAAAAGGAAACCTTTTCCTATGCAAAAAAGGGCCCCGAAACTCGGAGGAAAAGGCTTTCATCTCGCCGCCTCTTTCTCTCGATTTCATCCGGGGTAAAATCGCTGTTCGTCCGCAGTGATCCATGATGACAGCGTGCGGCGGACTGATTTAAGCTCCGCCTTAAGATTTCAACGCCGGACTATTACTTGCGGTGACGACGGCACAGTTGTTCGTGTCTCAGATCGTGGTAAGTGTCCTATGGTGGTCATGATCTTAATGGGACTGTGATAGGCATGGATCACTAACTTTGGTAGTACTCAGACACACCGCCATGAGCGGCATCTTGGAGCAAGCGTACGAGCGTGAGCTCCGGACACTGTTCTCTGCAGACCAAGTTCAGCTGTACGAAAAACTTCCCGGCGCCTTCGAAAAGGTCTCAAAGCTTCAGATAGATAACCCTTATGTTTGCGCTTTTGTCGTGAGTCCTTGCAGTATTAATATTGTTACTAGGTCAGCGATCTGACAATATAAATAGCGTGTGCTTTCGGAGATAATTGAGTCAGATTGGATATGGGACTACGACGAGGATTCCAGCAACCGCTGGAGAACGTGGAGTTACTTCACCAGCAGCTGCGTCGATAATGGGCTGCCTGCCGTCTTACTCGGACTGATAACTGTACCTTGGAGAAAATCTTCGAGCGTGCTGTCCCAACAGCAGGTCAACGGCTACATGACGCAGTGGCGTGCTTGGCGGTCTTTGTCTCATTTGTTTCATAACGGGAACAAAGGAGCGCTGGGGATCTTGCTCGGTGGATTAAATTCATCAAAGGTGTTAGATATCTGCACGAAAGTGAGGAACAAATTATTTGTAAATATGACTCTATCATCGATGGATTGGCTGACAGTATTCTCTCAGACATTAATGCACCCCATTCTGTCTTTTCGCTTGGAAGCAACAAATCTCCTCGTTACTGTATGCTCTAAGTCAGAGCTGGCGCAAAGGCTCAAGCCTCGCGACGTCGCTGACGCTCTGTACTTGTTGTGCAGTTCTGCGTTGCTGGACCCAGAGATATTCTCGGACCAGCTTCACAATCCTGCGACAAGTTGGCAGTGTCACATTAGCCCGTTAAACCCCGAGGACCCCTGGAACCGAGACGAGAATGGACAGCGCCTGATGTCAAATAGGATCTTTGGCTACTTGCAGCAGGGTACGCTCAAAGCCGCTTGGTCCCTGCTTGCGACGAAACGGGTCCGCTTCCCCCTTGATGACCTCTGTATTCTGAAGCAGAGACCAACCATCTCCGACTTGCTGCTAGACTGTGTTTTCTTGGAGCCTCCAAGGGGGTTTCTCGAAAGTGATGCAAGGTCTTATGCGGCCGAGGCTATATGCGCCCTCCTGCGATGGCCCGATTACATCGTACCCGGGGTCTCAACACCAGCCGAGAGAGCTCGCAGTGCCAAGGATAGGAAAGCGCTAATTCAGGTGATGCAGAACTTTACTTCTCGACGTCATTGGGTAGAGAGGGTTATTCACGCTTGGATGAGCACCGAGAACACTGAAGATGCCGTTGGACTAGAGCGGTGAGTACAGCAGCATTGACTTGCACATTACCCTCGCTTACTCCGTGTCGCATGGCTTCAAGTCAACTTTCCGTCGCTCACTCGCTCTATGGCGAAGATCGCTCCCCGATCGGTGCTTCAACATACAAAAAAGTCGGCAGAGGGATCGGTAAGTGAGCTCCAAAAGTCCTAGCGCATCGTTTCACTAAATGATGACAAGCTGGATCTCGTAACTCCCTCTTACGTTTGATAGCAACACTGACGCACGGTGCTGACGCCGCCGGTATAAAGAACGGGGACATATACTCCTTATTGCCCATTGCGTACCAGTCGAGCTACAAAGAAGCTCACAAAATTGAAGAAGAAGGAAGCGTGTGCGAGTGGCCTTCGTGGACCAGATCAAGCATACATCCGAACCCGGGATTCGATCCATTTTACATCGCCCCCGAGAGCGTGTTGGGTCCTATTACTCTAGCGCGCCTGCTGACCGTCCTCGCGCAGAGAAACGCTCTCAACAGCATACAAACACTCCAGAAGGCTCCCGCCGGTCTGTCTAGCACGACTTCCCTCGAGCACATCCAGCAAATAACACACCCGGACGTTATCCGTCGCTTCCTCAAGATATCACTCAAACGAATTCGGAGCCGTCTGCGCGAGGGCGACGACATCTACGGGTCCACTGAAGATGACTACTATTTTACGATGTTCCGAGCCAGCCACGTTTATCAAAGTGCTGCAGAACTTGCAGCGGCTATGGTTGCATTCGACGAGAACACGGGCGGCGCGTACTCCAAGGACGTGGTTGGAGTGCGACACTTGCTCGCGGAGTCCCTCGGCCTGGTGACTGAGGCATCGCTAGAAGTCGAAGAGTACTGGCGCGCTTACTTTTGCGGGCTGGCGGCGGTAGACTTGGCAGAAAGCTACGCTGGAATTCCAGAAGAACGCGTGGACCTTAGGCTCAAACTCAAGTGGAGGAAATGGACCGAGGACGCGAAGAACGCGGCCGGTTTCTGAGCACTCACGCGGACGTCCGGTACGATTCTCGAGTATGGGATTCTCCACGTGCTCGTTCATATCATGATGATTCGTCAGGTTTCACCTAGAATTCAATGGAAGTTTGCGACGAAACATGAGCTGAAAAGACCCGCCACAGCGGTACTTCATCCTGACCTCACACTACCTTAAGCACTTCTCCGCCTTCAATAACGTTCGGCTTCGAATGTCATATCCATATTTTTCGCGTCTTCTCTAATGGTTTCATGCCTGCCGCGCTTCTGGGAATTCTGTGAATGGGTGATGAATAGGTTCAGTATGTTCAAGTTTCAAGTTCACTGGAACGAGCATCATGATGCGGTAGAAAATAGCTACCAGCAGAAGGGTGAAACTTATCGAAGGTTGATGAACACCTTCTGTGCCAAGATAAACATTAGCGAGCCCTCTTTGAAAGTGCTCCGCCAGCGTTAACTGAGCCTCACAAAAGGCCCGTTCAGACTAAGTTCACACGCTTAGCGACGCGCGTCTCGTCGCGATAACTTGTTTCGTGTGCTTGTCCGAATCCCACCCTCAGGCCCATCTTTGTTGTTTCCTGCGGCGATATCAAGGGAAATCCACTCACGTTCAAACACTCACCATCTACCACCGGCTATGATGGTTCCTTGTACATGCTAGCACCCTCACTGCCATAGCATACAGCGACGGTGAACGGACAACGCTTTCCATGACGACACTTTCAAAGCAAGCTCTCACCATACCTCATCGCCTAGACTTTGGCTCAGTGCTCTATGATAGCTAAGGAGCCCAAGACCTGCGATGCATCGTGTCTCGTTGTATGCTCGTGGCAAACCATGAGACTTTGACTGCGGACGAGATTTTCACGGCTCCCTTCGTCCCATGGCCAGGTTCCGACAGGTACCTTCTGCCCCCGTCGCCTTGCTGGCGAACCTGAAACCTGGCACCAGCGAGCTGCTCTAAAAATATGCTACCAGACCATGACATACACCGACTCCAAGCGCTGCCTTGAGGACGCGGTATTTTCTCGGCGCCAGCCAGATTCGGCTCGTGCATACTTCACCAGGCCACATCTTCACTTTTACCTTCTCAGCGTTTTGACACGCGAAGTTAACCATTCCAGCTGATCATGGTGAGCTGTATGACAGCTGACGACGGTCCTTATGGTCGCAAGCTGCGCTTGATATTCATGGTGTTCATGCACCTATTTTTAGCCTCTTTGTCTCTCACTACCAGTGATCGTCAAGGGCTACATGCCTCGGTATCTCTACGTCCCTCTCCACAGCTATTTTGAAGGAGCAGACTTTGCTCATAATTCAGGGGCATGCCACGTACGAGTGCCTTTCTCGCTGATCCGGTGTCCCGCATGCCGGTTGGGCTCCAGAGGACGACTGTACTTTGCAGCACGCCGCGCGCAACGCCGACAAAAATAACTGGGTCTATGTGCTGTCGCATCCTTATTCCTCAGTTGTCGACTCTCATTGACAGCCTGAACGCGTCACGATGGGCCGTACCTCGCGTGTGAGGTCTCAGCTCTGGCGTTTCTGGGAGGTCTCTTGGGGCAGTTAAATAGCGGGCTACTGCGGCTTAACCTCTCAGGTCCTCTCGTCCACTGTATTCTTATCGGCCAACCGCGCTCACATTCGCACTCGCCCTCTCACTCATCATCTCTTCGCCATGAAATCCGTCCTTGTCTCTGGTCTTACCGCCGCCTCGATGGCTGGCTCGGCGCTGGCTGGCACCTACTCGCAATCGGAGACCATCTCCGGCAACGACTTCTTCACCGCATTCACGTGGGAGAACATCGCCGACCCGACCAGCGGGCGCGTCGTATACGTCGACCAGGCCACGGCACAGAGCGCCAACCTGTCGTACGTGACGGGCAGCTCATTCGTCATGGCTGTCGACTCCACCACCACACTCGCGGCGACTGATGCTGGGCGGAACTCGGTCCGCATCAAGTCGGCTAACACGTACACGACCCACGTCGCTGTGTGAGTATACCCAGGCTTGTCTTTCGCGAACTTGGATCTGATGTGGTACTGCTTCTTAGCTTCGATATCGCGCACATGCCGCAGGGATGTGCTACCTGGCCTGCCGTCTGGGAGACCAACGAGAGCACCTGGCCCGATGGTGGCGAGATCGACATCCTCGAGGGTGTGAACAGTGTCGTGCCCAACCAGTCGACTATCCACGCTGGCCCTAGTGAGTTTATATGGTGCTATCTGTAGTATGAAATTGACCTTTGACGCATTATCCTCAGACTGCGCCATCCCTGCTTCTGGCACGACTGAGCAGGGCACTATCGTCGGTACCGACTGCAACTCCAACGACAATGGCAACGCCGGGTGTGGCATCCAGTACGCCTACGACGACAACTCGATCTTCGCTGGGTTCAACGGTGTCGGCGGTGGCTGGTATGCCATGGAGCGCACCGACACTGTGATCAATGTCTGGTTCTGGGAGCGGGGTGCGTCAGGCGTGCCCTCTGGTGTCTCGTCCCCCGCGTCGTCCATCGACACGAGCACCTGGGGTACTCCCGCTGCTGCGTTCCCGAACACGGACTGCGACTTCTCGTCGTTCACCGCACACAACATCATTGTCAACATCGATCTGTGCGGTTCTTGGGCGGGATCGGACACCGTGTACGCTGCGTCGGGATGCCCGTCGACGTGTGTTGGTAAGCAATCATCATGCCGTTTGAGTTAGAGCGGGCAACTGACGCGATTCTCCCTTCAGACTACGTCAACAGCAACCCGTCTGACTTTGCTGACGCTTACTTCGAGTTCAACGCCGTCACTGTCTACGAGTAAACAACCATTGCAGGTTAACTTTAAAGGATGACACCCAGAGAGTGCTGGCATATTCCTGTAACTGATTGTATGGAGACGAGAGCTGTCATATCACTTATTCACTATTATTATTCGGCCTCCTTGATGTGCACAGTAAAACGCTTGACGCTGCTGTATTTCCATTTCGAAACAATGCTATACATTCGCTGCGCCTACTTGTCTTTTGAGTTAGACGGTCGATTGTCTGGCAAAGCCTAAACTCTATGTAGTCCCATGGTGTACTTATCTGAGCATTCTCACCTCCATGCGGCCGTGGTTCCCGCTGATTTCGCTAGCGCGATATGCCCCTAGTACTTCGCGTCACACGCGCCTGGATCACGTAACCCGCTATTCTTGACACCTTCCACGATGACCAATCGCCCAGCCTCGCATTCCTGTCCCTATCGGAGTCCTTGCTCTCCACTCTTCCCCCATGTCCACTCCCATAGACGCACGCAGTCGAAGGGACGATGGCCCTGACAACGCTGAGGCCCAGCCGCTCCTCTCCGGCTCGCCTTCGTCGAACTACAGCCTCAAGGCGGACGGGCTTCCTACTCGGGACCCACGTGAGGTTGAGGATGGTCCCGAGACGACCGCTATCCCAGGAGACGACAGCGAGTTGGAGGTCAGCGATGCCATCGATACCACCGAGTCGGTCAAGCCGGAGCGAAAGGGGTGGACGAAGGGACAGATAGCGTGGAGGGCATTGCTAGCGGCCGTTGTCGTTTTCTTCTTGGCTTTATTCATCAAGGGTTTCGTAGATGCGAAGGATACCAAGGCAAGCTGCACATGTCTTTCTTACTCATGTCTTTGAAGTTCTCACCTATTTTTAGTTTGACTTTGGAAAGGCCTTCAAGGACGCGTTGGGAGGGGGAGTGACCGGTGCTGCAGGTACCCACTAACACGCTATCGTCCAAATCCACATATTGACGCGAACTACTAGCTATGGTCTTGCAGGTCCTGCTCTTGATGGTGAGCTGAGGGTGTTCATGTGCCAACGTCCGTCCGCTCATCAGAACATGTAGCCCCTCCGCACAGTTATGAACTACCAATACCGGTATGGAACCTCAACTACGCAAGCCATTAAGACCCTCTACGCCGATGGCGGCTATCCACGCTACTACCAGGGCATCTTAGCCGCCCTTATCCAAGGCCCCGTCGCGCGATTTGGTGACACTGCTTTCAACGTCGGCATTCTCTCCCTTCTCCGTTCCAATTCGTACATGAAGAAGCTGCCTGTCCCTGTGCAAACTATCTTCGCGAGCGTCGCCTCTGCGTGCTTCCGCATGGTCCTCACGCCCATTGATACAGTGAAGACAACAATGCAGACTCAGGGCAAGGTCGGAATGAAGCTTCTCAAGGAGAGGGTGAAGCGATCGGGAGTAGGCAGCTTGTGGTATGGTGCGCTTGCGACCGCTGCTGCTAACTTTGTTGGGAACTATCCTGTGTGTACCGCATTTCACTCGCCACCATTCCTTTTCTAACGAAGCATCATTTCTCGCAGTGGTTCGCAACCTTCAACTGGCTCGACGCTGCCCTTCCACCTGGTCAAGTCATCATCACGAAGCTCTTACGCTCCGCCTTCATCGGCTTTTGCGCTGCCATTGTCTCTGACACGATCTCGAATTCGCTTCGCGTGCTCAAGACGTACCGACAAGTGAACGAGACTGAGATAAGCTACTCTGACGCTGCGCGTGCGATTATCGCCACGGACGGCCTTAAGGGCCTCTTTGGACGTGGGCTCAAGACGCGCATCCTCACGAACGGGCTGCAGAGCTTGATGTTCACGGTACTTTGGAAGCTGTTCTTGGATATGTAAGCCCGCCTCTTTCACGTTTTCGTTTTCACTGCATGGCGCTCACACTCGCATGAATAGCTGGGCGGACCACACGAAGTAAGGGGAGGGAGCTCAAAGATTTTCTTGCTAGACGTTCTCAATCGCGCTATACCTCCGCATTGACTTGGATCAGAACACTGATTGTACTTATACTGCGACACAATATGCATTATTTATTTAGAGTTTTCTTGAAGCGTATTCATGCCAAGCGGTCAAGTGGCTGGTTACTCTCGTTCGGACCCATAACTTAACATGAACCCTTAAGAGGTTTGTGAGCAACTGCGCAGCTTACTAACTGTTCTGATCCCAAGTCATGGGAGATGTAAAACCTAGGTCGGAATATAGGGAGTGTTGTCAGGCTTCGTTACCCTTATCTCAGACTAACGACTTGCCATGGCTGAAACCACGTTCAGTTCCTTCGCAGTAGTTGGTGCTGGAGGTAGCGTTGGGAAACACATAGTTGAAGTAAGCGGTCAAGCCTCTATCTGTTCTTTTCCTTTGGGATTTGCTCTGACATCAACGATCAGAGTCTTATAGCGAAGAACGTCAACGTCCTCGTCCTTACTCGTCCTTCATCCTCCTCTGCTCCGTCGGGCCCCCGTGCGAAAGTCGAACGTGTCGAGTACACCGACATTGTCGGTGTCGCGCGTGTTCTGCAGGAGCACAACGTCGAGGTGCTCATCTCGGCGCTTCCATTTGAAGACCTGCCGGCGCAGGAGCCGCTCGCGAAGGCGGCGCTGCAGGCGGGATGTGTGAGGTTGTTTGTCCCGTCCGAGTACGGAATGCCGACGGAGGGTGGGGAGGAGGCGATTTTGCTGCATAAGGATCGGTATACGAGTGAGTATCTGGAGATGAGCTGTGTGCGAGATTTGGATCAGATAAAGCTGACTATTCTGTCTGATCGGAACAGAGATGCTGAAGGAGCTCGGGATGCCTTCTCTGCGCCTCTATGTGCGTCGTATGCTCGTCAGAATTCTTTTTTCGTGCTTACATGTGGATCGTCTTGCAGTCAGGTCTCTTTGCGGAGTGGATACCGATCATAGGCTGCGTCGCGGAGAAGGGCAAGTTCCTGCTCGTCGCAAAAGGCGATACCCCGATGTCTGTTACGACCATGTCCGACGTCGGTGGTGCAGTCCTTTCCTATCAAGCCGTTCTTTGCCATCTGACACTCACCTATCATAGGCTATCTGGCGCATATAATCACAACGCTGCCTCCGTCTAAGCTCCTCAACACCGTCTTTCGCATTGAAGGCGACAGGGCTACTCTGAATGAGTTTGCGGTGCTTTATGAGAAGGCGGACGTGTCCATTCAGCACGCAGAGAAGATCCCGGAGGACGTGAAGGACGCGTTTGTGAGGGATTATCTCCAGCAACGCTCGGATACTGGTGGTGTGAGCACGCGGTGGGATATTGTCTCGGGTAGGGAAATGGAGGGCGAGGAAGGGAATATGAATGGGCTTTGGGAGGGGCATGTGTGGACGAGTGTTAGGGCCTTGCATGCGCTGTAAGCTGTAGGTATGTTTGTGGTGAGGACGTTCTAGCATGGTATTATCTGGTATGTATTGTCAAGCGAAGAAAACAAGGATCGACTAGAGGTCGTTGTATTTTGGCCTTTTCGCTTAAGTTTTCGACATCGGTTGCCATTGTCCCCTTATTCTTTGTGCGTTGTCTTGCTTTTGCATTGACTGCCGGTTTTCCATTGTTCTATTTCTTTGGATTCCTTGATTTATTGACAGCTCTTTGAGCACCCTCGACGTATAAGAGCGGGCGGAAACGACCTGCCCCACACAGCACCCACCGCTTGACACCCGCCCATTTCCCGCTCCGACTGAATTTTGCCGAGCGGTCACGGCAACTTAGCCAGCTCCTCGACCTGTTACATTCATCGCTACGTCCTAACGTACCACTGCGCGTTACCATGCATCGCGCCCTTGACTTACCGGAAATACTTCGCATGATATGCGACGAGCTCAACTCAATTGACTCAACAGACAACCCCAAACAACAGCTGGAAAGCAAGGCGAGGAACCAACGTGCGATAGCAAATGTCGCAAGAGTTTGCCGCACCTTCAAGGACCCTGCGCTGGATATACTCTGGTCGGATGTGGAGGTCCAGCACTTCCTGAAATTGCTCCCATCTAAGCGACTGGTCAGAGATGACTCCGGTGCCATCGTGGGTCACCTCTCTTCCTGTGCCTTCAAGCATGCTCAACATGGACGTTTCTGTGCCCCTAGATTGACGTACACACACCCTCGCCGAACGAGCTACGCAAGGTTCACGAGTTCACTCGACGTACTCGGACGCTCACAGTTGGATCCGGTGAAGGTTCTGGAAGACACGTGGCCGGTACATTGCTGCACCCGCCGGTCGACGCCGGAAGCGTGTTTCCAAAGTTGCGACATCTGGTGGTCCAAGATACATTCTTGCGTACATCATCGGGTGAACAGCTATACCACCCCCATTCCACTCGCCGCGATTTCCTGCTTCCATGGCTCACCACTGCCAAGATCCTTGCCCAAGCTGACCAACACGATTGCGATACGCTTCTGCTAGCGCTTCCGGAGGCGTGTCCTAGCCTACAAAATCTTGTCGTTGATTATCCGGATTTCATGATCGGGCTTTTTTCCCAGTTACAAAGTAGAGGGCCAGCTACGAAAGCCTTAACCAGTTGTATCCGCGGACTACCTAATATTTTGTCTCTCTGCTGCCCCGACCTAGAGGATGAAGCACTTGAATACGTGTTTCAGCGCTCCAAGCTTCAAGAACTCACGCTGACCAACTGGAAAGGTATTAACAGGAGGACGGAAGATGATGCTCCGGTACAAGGTCCAGGTAATCAAACACGTCATCCGCCAACGCTTTCTAAGCTCTTGCTGTGCCTTCCCCGACCCTACTGTGCCATAGAGTTGATACCCATACTCGACACCCTCCCCATCTCACTTGAACTTGATTCTTCGTGCGAGCCCATGGTTGAAGAAGTTCGAGGCCTTTTTGATGCACTGGGAAAACACCCCGGCAGCTCGCGATTACAGAAACTCGTGCTGAACTATGAGCAGCATCCCTTTCACCAAGTCTGGCCTGTCGCCGATTCAAGCCCTCTGCAGCTACGTCACCTCCGACCAGCTTTTCTTCTCCAATCCATGCGCTCCTTCCGCTTTTGCACCGCCGAACCTATATTATCTCTCACATCCGACGATCTACTCGAGATAGCTCAGGCGTGGCCAAATCTCGAGGAGTTCTGTGCGCCTTATATGGATACGGAACCGGGACTCTGCCTCCATGACGTGCTCGCATTTGCTGAAGCCTGTCCCAAGCTCACCGAGCTCGAGATTTCGATCACGAACGAGCCCATCGACTTCGGAGACACCGCCGCAGAGCTGTCCGTGCGCAATCGGAACGTTAAGACTCTGCGCATCTACGATTTACATCATGGCGATCTTCCGCGCGTCAGTGTTGTGCTGGCGCGCGCGTTCCCCAACCTTGCCATGGTACAGCCCGATGACCAGGATAACTTTGCGATGTTTGACTCGGATAGGCTTGGGGATGCAATCATGGTGGCCGTCAGGAAGCTTCGTGCGGAAGAGGCGCGAGGAAAGATTAAGAAGTGGACTGTGCGTTTCCTTGCGAGAAGAGTGGAAGAGATATTTCTTCGGTGGAGAAAGTAGCGCACAGAGGGGATGTTATAATAAGCTGCTTGATTAGATGTTGATATATACTACTATAGAATCTGTATCGTACAATAGTTAATCGGAAATGGCATCGATACCTTAGGAAGACCAGATGGCAGATGGACGACCAAGCCAACGCTTCACGAATCGCGCTTTGTCGATTGACTCAGTGTCTCATCTTTTCCCTTCGGCGAGGACGAAGCTGATTATTCTGCATGATCGGAACAGAGACAGTTCTGAAGGAGCTCAAGATGCCTTTTCTGCGCCTTTATGTACGTCGTATGTTCGTCAGAGTTATTTCTTAGTCCTTACACAGTGGACTTTTGCTTATGTTTTTGACGTTGTGTATGCCCAGCTCGCTTTCCCATTGACCATTTGTTCTTTGTGCGTTTACCTATTTTTTTTTTTCGCGTCAAGTGCCGGTATTCTTTTGTTTTGTTCAATTTGACCGCTCGGCTCCTTGACAGCTTTTCGAGTGTCCTTGACGTATAACAACGAATAGAACTCGCGGAATCCCGCACGTCAGGCCTATCCATCCGCTGACGTTCAACATTTCCCGCTCCGACTGGAACCTACCGAACGGGCCACAGCAAAGCCAGTCACTCGATCCTGTTACATCCATTGCTCCGTTCGAGCGTTTCGCCATGCATCACGCCCTTGCTTTACCAGAGATACTTCGCATGATATGCGGCGAGCTTAACACCATCGACTCAACAGATGAACACCGACAGCAGCTGGAAAACAAGGCAAGAAACCGAGATGCGCTGGCAAGCGTCGCAAAAGTTTGCCGCGCGTTCAAGGGACCGGCATTGGACGCCCTCTGGTCAGATATAGATCAGGCTCGATGCTTATTAGAGCTGCTACCACCTGAGCAACTCTTCACAGATGGACTCGGCGCCATCGTGAGTCTCGCTTCTCCCTGTGTCTTCATGCCCAGTTAAATCGAAGCTTTCTGCCAGATTGACGTGGGCTCGCCCTCGCCGGACGAGCTGGGCTACGTTTATGAGTACTCCCGACGTGTTCGCAAGCTCACTGTGGGTACTTCCATAGACACAGCAAGACACGCGGCCGGAATACTGGTGTGCCCACCGGTAGATGCTGCAAGCGTATTCCCAAGGTTGCGTCATCTAGTGGTCTTTGATACATACTCGATGGTTATGGATGGACTGCCGCAGACTCCGTATTCTGTTCATCGTGATCTCTTACTTCCCTGGCTCACTACTGTCGAGCTGCGCATGGAAGCTTACCGTAGAGATTGCGATGCGCTTCTGCTAGCGCTTCCAGCTGCATGCCCTGGCCTACGAAACCTTGTCGTCGGTTTTCTTGATTTTCCGGACAGAAACGCGTCGGTCACAAAGGCCATGACCGCTTGTATCTTTGGGCTACCCAGTCTCATGTCACTTCGTTGCCCGGACCTCGAGGACGTAGCATTTGCACACGCTTTGAAGCATCCGAAGCTTCAAGAGCTCAATTTGACTGATTGGATGGGCATTAGAAGTAGGATGGAAGGAAAAGTTATTGCGGAGCAAGGTCCTGGAACTCGCGAGCCCCATGCCCTTTCCAACCTCTCGCTGCGCCTTCTGCGACTCTCTGATGCCACTGATTTGATACCAGCACTTACCACCATGCCTTCCTCCCTTGAGCTTGATGCATCACTGGGACCGAAGCGTGAGGAGGTTGCGCAATTTTTTGATGTGCTGGTGGAGCACCCTGGTGGCTCGCAACTACAAAAACTCGTACTTGGCCACAAGTTTGACCCATTCTGGTTCAGCACTGTATCTGCTCATTTACATCTGTGCCACATCCGACCTGCTCTTCATCTCCACTCCATGCGCTCCTTCCGCTTTGGCACCGCCGAACCTACGCTATCTCTCACTTCCGACGACTTGTTCGAGATAGCTCAGGCATGGCCAAACCTCGAGGAGTTCTGTGCGCCTTACATGGATACAGAACCGGGACTCTGCCTTCATGACGTGCTCGCATTTACTGAAGCCTGTCCCCAGCTCACCGAGCTCGCGATTCGGGTCACGAACGAGCCGTTCGACTTCGGGGACACTGCCGCAGAGCTGTCCGTGCGGAACCGAAACCTCAAGACTCTGCGCATCTACTATCTGCACTACGGGGATCTTCCGCGCGTCAGCGTTGTTTTGGCGCGCGCGTTTCCCAGCCTTGCTGTGGTACAGCCCGATGGTCGGGATATGTTTTCGGCACACTCGGACGGGCTTGGGAATGCGATAATGGTGGCAGTCAGGAAGCTTCGTGCGGAGGAGGCGCGAGGAAAGATCAAGAAGTGGACTGTGCGCTTCCTTGCGAGAAGAGTGGAGGAGATATTTCTCCGGTGGAGAGAGTAGCGCACGAAGTGAAAGTTACATTAAGTTGCTTGATTAGGTGTTGATATATTGCTACTATATAATATGTATCGTACAATAGTTAATCGGAAAAGGTGTTAATATCTCAGGAAGACCGGATGACGGACGGACGATAAGGACAATTCTTCACGAACTGGGCTCTGTCGATCGACTGGCCTTCATCCTTGCCCTTTGGCGAGCTGGAACTCGAAAGTGGACGAGAGAGTGGCATGGGTGACAGTGTGCGCAAGGAGGCGCCTATGGAAGCCACGTCAGAATATTGGAATAAGTACACAGAGACGGAAATGGCACATTTACAGGCTCTACAACCTCTCCAGCGGGCAGCGCGACTGGGATGGACGTTGCTGTCTAAGCATTACGCGTCAAAACACGGTGGCATATACATGTACGCGACAGTCAGGGGCTTACCTTCCGGCGCGTCTAGAAGGCTTGTATCACCAACGGGGGCAAAGAGGAGAAGGTCAGGTACCTGGAAGGACTTGAAGTCTACGATGAAGACGTTAAACCCGGGTGGCATGCGCAGGATGGCGGTGGAAGACATACCAGAGGACCCGGAGTCGTTGAGGCGCGTCAAGTGTGCACCATCCCACACGTTCGCGGAGAAGAACGCGATGTCGTTCGGATACCTGTTCGCAGTCATCCTGGGCTGATTGAAGAGACTGGAGAGCGCGACGTGGTAAAGGTGCTGGGGACAGAGGTGGGCGGGAGGAAGAAAGAGAGACGCAGGATACACAAATACGAGGGCCTCCTGCGCGTCCTTTTAAAGGGCGCGTCCATATTAATTTTACACCAATTAGCCGTGTCACGCGAGCGGACGCAGTTGTCCTTTTACCGTGGTGTGAAGTCTAACCATTTCCACCGAAAGGGTTTGTGGGGTGTCAATGTACCTGTCACGGACGCACGCGGATGTGAAGGGTTTTCTCCTTTGTTCGAGGTGCGTTTCGGACCGGATTGTGCTGAGCCTCGAGGCGGGAGGTGGTGTTCTGCTGCCGTTCCGCCGCTGGGGGGGATGAGCTTAGGTGACGACAGGGATTGAAAACATGCTGTAGTAAGTACAACAAAAGCAGGGTTTAACAACGTCCGCTCCGTGAGTGTCGCGTGAAATTGAAATTTTATCAACCAGGATTATAAGGTAGGGTGAGAAACAAAGGACAGTAGCGGTGTGGTAGTGTCGGACGGGTTGATACTACAACAGATATGTATGAAAAGTTAAAATCATGATAGTATAAGCATAAGTATAGAATGAGAAAGTAAAAGCGCGCCTCAGGCCGACGTGCTGGGCTAGCTCCAATTGTCGCCGCGTAAATCCAGATGAGCATCGTAGAACGTGGGGTCGGGATAGTAAAAAGGCATAGTGTTGGTGGCGTACGGATTAAACGGCGCCACGTAGGAGCCCAACGACTGAACCTGCGTCGGCTTTGGGAGGGCAGAGAATACCGAGCCTGTCGAGAGCAGCTCTTCATGAGAACGGCGGTCGAGTACGTAGTGCTGAAAGTGGAGAGGCCGGGAGCCGTAGTTCGAAGGAGGAAGAGGAAGCGGCAGCGCGGGCGCCGTAGAGTCCAAGTCGTTGACGAAGTGGATGTCACTACCGGTTACCCCCGGAATTTGTCGTGGATGGCGGCTGCTTGAAGAGGCCGCTACCGTCGCGATCAAATTCGCACTCGAAGCTGCACTTGGGCCCGTATCCGCGCTGCGTCGTTTCCTAGAGCCCTCTCCGCCCGCACTCTTGCGCTTCCCGACGCCCTTGGTCTCCTTCGGAACCCGGCCCCGCTGCCTCCGACGCCTCCCCGCCGTGCCAGCAGCGTCACGCACATCCTCCCACCTCCGCCGCTCGATCTCGCCGAGCGCGTCCCACGGCTCGCGCTGATCGGGCGACATGGCGTACCAGATGCGGGCGACGTTATCCGGCGTGTTGCCTTTCTTTGGGTGCGTACCCAGGGCACACAATGCGCTTTTGAAGAGGAAGAAGGGGTTGCGTGGGCGTTTAGGTTTGGGGATGGTGTCGGTGTCGGTCAGGGGTGTGAGCGAGGGTATAGGTGCACAGCGACGTGGGAGTCGGCAAGGGATGAGCGAGGGAGATGAGGGTGCGGCTGGGAGCTCTATGAGTTGGACTGAGGGATGGACTGGGGGGCTGAAGGTGACGAGGACGGAGTCTTGTGTCGGCAATGGGTGGCAGCTTGAAGGGCTCGTGGGGTCGTGTTCGGGGGACGTCGCTGGTGTGAATGGCGTAGACGCGCTGACGGAGGAGAAGGGGCTGGTGGTACAATCGGGGAGAGATAAAGGTGACATCGGTGCGGGAAGGGGCGGGTCCGAAGCTGCCAACACGGGAGATGAAAGCAGCTCCGACGAATCTGCTGGCGTACAAGGGTTGGAAGTTGTGGTAGTTGTATCTGGAGGGGTAAGAGCGCCAGCTGTATACGATGAAAATCAGCGATTCAGGGCGTGGCAGTGGATGGGACCCAGCGACGCACCGATAATGAACGTGTTCCAGTCAGCCTTTTTATGAGGAGGCATAGTTGGGATATGCGCACGGTTAACAGACTTGCCTCTGTTTCTGATGTGCTCGTAGTCCGACCATCCTTCTGCATGTATCTTATCGGGAAGCGAATCTACATTGCACGGTTAGATGGCTTGAAGCGCGGTAGGCTACATAGGAACACAGACCGTAGTGTGGGGATTGGGTTCCGCTGTGAGTAAAAAGGGCGGTCGCGAGGCGCTGGGAAAGTCCTGTACGAAACAAGAGAGTTAATCGTGGGTGGCAGACATGTGGCGGCGGCGAAGGTACATACTGCGAGTGTTATCGCACTCGTCTCGGCAGAGTTCCATAAATGCCGGTTGACAGTAGCATGATAGATCTGCAACTTTGTTACACGCGTGTGTGAAGTCATATATGGATTTTTTAAGTCTGTATGCGACGAGCGACTTACTGCCGAGATCTTCCATGCTGGTGTACTCGGTGCGTTGTGCATCGTAGACCGTTGTGGGCTCGCTGGAGCTGCGGTTATCACTGAAGAACGTCTGGGGCTGCATAACCGGAGCGTTGATGCGGAGAGAATATAAGAATGTCTATGAAAGTGGAGAGTGGTAAAGAGAAAAAAACTGCGGGAGGGATGGTATGCTGTACGAGCAGTCCACAGACACCCATACTCTCCCTCAATTTATTACAACGGCTCAAAGGGGCGCGATTTCCATACCGAGATGCAAGGCAGCCCGGAAGCACTACTGGCTCGCCATTGTTCCGCCTCGTTGTCCTTGTATCGACGTCGGTGGATCAGAGAATCTGACGTAGGAAGCAAGGTGCTTCGGGACGGCGGAACGAATTCGAGCGCGTGAAGGTGGCGGTGGTGGTTGTGGGTGGCTGGATTGGGATGCTGATATAGTAGGCGCTGGTCAGGGACGGTTGGACGTGTGAGGTGGAGAGGAGGTACCACATGAGCGGACAGGCCAATTAGAGTAAGCCGTGAGGACTCACTTGGATTGAACCACTAGCGTTCCTCGTCGAGGGAATAAAAAGAGACATGGTCATCTTGCGCAGACGTCGAATGTCTGCTGAGGAAAGGCAAGGAAGTGAAGAGCGCTGCAGGGGATTTTAGAGGAGACGGCAGGAGAGACGACCAAAGACGAGTGCTTCCCCAGAGAACCTGTCAAACCTGTGCCACATCCTTGTCCTCGCGGCCACCGGGCGTCATCGATAGAAGATTTATCACCCAGAATAGGATGAACGTTTGTTGCTCTATGGGCCGATGCTGTACGGATTTTTGCCGCGTTGAGAGGACCTGTGACGACGTCGACACCAACCCAGCTCGTCGGTCGTCGGGTGAAGATGTGAAGGGGTGAAGGGTCCAAAAAGGAAGGAGTGTGAAGAGGTGAAGGGACAAAGGAAGCGGATCGGCGCGTTCGGCCCTGAGGATTTCGTGGGAAATAAGGCACGTGAGATAGGCGTGATGAGAAAAGATAAGATAAGATGCAGAATTTGGTTCAGCGGGACGATCGGCGTGCGACCGGCGATCCAAGTCACGGCGGACGCTTTGCGGCTTTGAGCGAGCTGATAAAAATTGACGAGCTCCTTTCTGCTCTCCATCGATTGAACGACCATGGCACCCCTCAGCCACCCCTCCATCGTAGGTCAGCGCATATATCCTCTCATCGTCTACAACGTTACTGACGATGATCTCATTCACAGACGGCTGGTTCCGCGAGATCTCGTCGCAATGGCCAGGCCAGGCCATGACCCTCAAGGTCAACAAAATCCTCCATGTCGAAAAAAGTCTCTACCAGGACGTCCTCGTGTTCGAGTCACAGACGTACGGCAACGTCCTCGTGCTCGATGGTGTCATCCAGTGCACCGAGCGCGATGAGTTCTCGTGCGTTTCCACTTCGCGTCTCGTTGGCATACGCCCGTGCTCAGGCGCGCCACGATGATATGACAGGTACCAGGAGATGATCACCCACCTGCCCATGGCGTCCCACCCGAACCCGAAGCAGGTCCTTGTTATCGGCGGTGGCGATGGTGGTGTCGTGCGCGAGGTCCTCAAGCACGACACCGTCGAGAGCGTCGTTCTTTGCGATATCGACGAGGTGCGTCTCCGTCCATCCGACTATCCACCAACCCGATCTAACCCACCACCACCCCTTATAGGCCGTCATCCGCGTCAGCAAACAATACCTCCCGCACATGTCCTCCCTCCTCGCCGACCCGCGCGTGACCGTCTACATCGGCGACGGCTTCAAGTTCCTCGCCGACAACCAAAACACATACGACGTGATCATCACCGACTCTTCCGACCCCGTCGGCCCCGCCGAGTCGCTCTTCCAGAAACCCTACTTCCAGCTGCTGCACGACGCGCTCGCGCCCGGCGGACAAATCAGCACGCAGTGCGAGTGCCTCTGGATCCATCTCCCGCTGATCAACAATCTGCGCGCGATGACCAAGGGCCTGTTCCAGGTCAGCGAGTACGCGTACACGACAATCCCGACGTATCCGAGCGGCCAGATCGGGTTTTTGGTGTGCTCCAAGGCGGAGGGAAGGAATCTGCGCGAGCCGGTGCAGACGGTGAAAGGGACGAGGTACTATAATGCGGATGTGCATCGCGCGGCGTTTGTGCTCCCAGAGTTTGCGAGATCGATGCTCGAGGACGGTGTGGACAAGCGCCCGCAGTTTGGGCGGGAGGCGCTTAAGGCGAAGGCACAGGAGGAGGGCAAGAAGGGCAAGAAGGTGTTGTTGCTTGGGTCGGGGTACGTTGCGAGGCCGTGTGCGGAGTATGTGGTGAGGGATCCAACGAACGAGCTTACGATCGGTGAGTCCTTTCCCTGTTCTCTTCCATTGCGATCGTATGAATTCATGCCTTATCGCATACAGCCTGCCGCACACTCGCAACCGCTCAGTCACTCGCCGCGGACCTGCCCAACACGACCGCGATCGCGCTCGATGCATCCGACCCGGCGGCACTCGAGGCTGCAGTCGCACAGCACGATCTCGTCGTCTCCCTGATTCCGTACACGTACCACGCGGACGTGATCAAGGCCGCGATCAAGGCGAAGAAGCACGTTGTCACGACCTCGTACGTCTCGCCCGCGATGCGCGAGCTCGAGGCGGAGGCCAAGGCCGCGGGGATCGTGGTCATGAACGAGATCGGGCTGGATCCGGGCATCGACCATTTGTATGCGGTCAAGACGATTGGAGAGGTGCATGAGAAGGGCGGCAAGGTGAGGGTCTCATTTCGTCCTATCAAGGGGGTGGAAATCTAATGACGTGCGCCGTTTTGTAGGTCTTAGAGTTCCTCTCGTACTGCGGTGGCCTTCCCGCGCCGGAATGCGCGGGCAACCCGCTCGGATACAAGTTCTCGTGGTCCTCGCGCGGCGTGCTCCTCGCGCTGCTCAACCCCGCGGCCTACCTCTCGGGCGGGGAGCAGCTCGACGTGTCGGGCTCGGAGCTGATGCAGCACGCGAAGCCGTATTATATCTCGCCCGCGTTCGCGTTCGTCGCGTACCCGAACCGCAACTCGGTGCCGTTTAGGGAGTTTTATGCGATTCCGGAGGCGCAGACGGTTGTGCGGGGCACGTTGAGGTATCAGGGGTTCCCTGAGTTTATTGGGGCGCTGGTGAAGCTTGGGTGGCTGGATGCGGAGAAGAAGACGTGGTTGGAGGAGGGGATGAGCTGGGCGGAGGCTATGCAGAAGGCTGTTGGGGCGAACGATGCGAAGGAGAGGTGTGTGAGAGTGATAAACGGTTTAAGAGGGGTTTGCTGACGCGTCGAATCGAAACAGCACGCTCATTGAGCGAGTCAAAGCGCTCTGTGCGTTCCCGAACGAGGCGGAGGCGAGCCGCATTGTGTCGGGCTTGCGCTGGATCGGGCTGTTTTCGGCGGAGGAGAAGGTGCAGGTGCGCGGGGGCAACCTGCTCGACACGCTGTGCGCGCGGCTGGAGGGGCTTATGCGGTACGAGGACAATGAGCGGGATCTGGTGATGCTGCAGCACCGGTTTAGGGTGCAGTGGGCTGATGGGAGCGAGGTGCGTGTTCTTTCCTTGCTTCCCTTTTTTAAAAAGACCTTTGGGAAGAGTACTAATGAGGACATGGGTGATAGCAAACGCTCACGTCGACACTCGAGGCGTACGGGTACCCGGGCGGGCACAGTGCGATGGCGAGGCTGGTCGGTGTGCCGTGTGGAATTGCGGTGCAGCTTGTGCTGGATGGGGTGATTAGCGAGCCGGGTGTGCATGCGCCGTATTCGAAGGAGCTGTGTGAGCCGCTGAGGGAGCTTGTGGAGAGGGAAGGGTTGGGGATGGTTGAGGGTGTTTTGTAGAATGTTTTACAGAGCGGGTTACGTTAGATGTGGAAGTGAAAAAGCCTTGAGGAACTATGGGGCCGTGTATGAGTAGGCTTGCTTTGGGTTCGACGATGTATTTGTTTGCTGTTGAGTCTGTCATAAGAGGAGCGAAAGAGGGCGCGACTGTCGCGGATGCAGTCAGACGCGTGTCGGTTCGGCTAAACTGATGATGATCCCACGTGGGCGCACCAGTTGACGCATCCGCACTCCATCCGTGCGGAAGACGAGACAAAGAACGGAGCAATGAAACGGACAGGCGCTCGACCCCTCTTGTCTTAGATCTCCCACCATCTCCCAGCTGGGCGCTTATCATCTCGAGCTTTAGGGACTGCTGTTGACGAGAGGACGGCGCGATCTACACCCTGAAACTTTGTTGGATCCGCGTTGGGCTGATCAGCTCTTGTGCGTGCTTCTCTATGACGATGTTATGCCCTGGATGTAGGGCGTGATACTGATGATGCGTACATGTAGGAGGCTCACCCAAAGGTCATCGTCATAGTCAGCGAGCTCGAGAACACATCCACCCACTGCGATCTGCGCTGTAACCTCCCGTGCACCTGCGTACTGCTGTTACCTGACATAGGAGCGCTTTTCGGCCCATCCCTCATTTCGAAGTACGAACCACGAACATCACCCCATCCACGGTACTACACGGCGTCACCACCACATATTGCATGACCACCGCGATGAACCCGCGAGCGCAGACACAGAGACAGATGCAGATGCAGATCCCGTTCGACTTCAGCCTGCCCCCGCGGCCCACGCCTACGGACGGCGTCATGACCGAGACGTCGGACACGCAGGCGGAGATGGAGAGCGTGTTGCAGCGGTATCTGCCCGTCGGGGGCGGGGTGTTGCATACGGCGCCTCATGCACATGGGCACGGAGCGGGGAGGGGAAACTTGAATGGGAACGGCAGCGCTGGAGCAGGAGCAGGAGGAAGTGGCGGTGGAGGAGGCGGTGGAGGGGGACCAGGCGGCTCGGCGGGGGTAGGTGGGGCGGGCGGCGCGCCCGCGCTGCAGCGCAACGCGCACCTGCAGTTCCTGGTGCGCAACCTCACGCAGGGCTTCCCCGAGCGGTATGTGTCGCAGGACGCGAGCCAGCCGTGGCTGCTGTTTTGGACGCTGCAGAGTTTTAGCGTGGCAAGGGTGGGGCTGGATCCGGGGAATAAGCAGCGGTGAGTTTTGGTTTGGTCTGTTCGTGGACTTTTTGGTGTCTCGGTTCCCCTCCTTTCCTCCTTTCCTTGGCCTTCGGCCTTGGGCTTATTGAACGGAGATATGCTGACGCTGAGTGTGTGGGGATCTTAGGGCGATCGACACTATTCTCGCGTGGCAGCACCCCGATGGCGGGTTCGGCGGCGGCCCAGGACAGGCAGCGCATCTTCTCCCGACGTATGCGGCCGTCTGCGCGCTCGCGATCGTCGGTCGGCCAGGACCCGGAGGCGGATGGGACCAAATTGACCGGTACGCTGCGCCCTGGCCTTCCTCTATCCGGAGGCATCTGCTCTCCACGTCGCTAATCTGATCTACAATGGCGCCTCAACAGGGAGAAGATGTACGCGTTCTTCATGTCGCTCAAGCAGCCCGACGGCTCCTTCACCGTCTCGCACCACGCCGAGGTCGACGTGCGCGGGACGTACTGCCTGCTCGTCGTCGCGCACCTGCTCGACCTGCTCACTCCCGCCCTTGTCCGCGGTACGGCCGCGTTCGTCGCGAGCTGCCAGACATACGAGGGCGGGTTCGCGTCCGCGTCGCAGCCGTACTTTGCTGCGTCGACTTCGGGTGACGGGGAGCCGGTATTGCTGGAGGAGCCACGGCCGGCGCTGGGCGAGGCGCACGGCGGGTACACGTTCTGCGCGCTCGCGTCGTGGGTGATGTTGCGGCGCTTCTTGCCGCCAGAGGAGCCGTCGTCGTCATCCCCAGTTCCACCATTATCTGCATCATCAGCACCAGAGAGACGCCCGCAGATAAACTACAAGTCGCTCACGCGCTGGCTCGCGCAGCTGCAGGGCGGCGAGGCCGAGCTCGGCGGCTTCAGGGGGCGCACGAACAAGCTCGTCGACGGGTGCTATTCGTGGTGGGTCGGCGGGTGCTTTGCGCTGCTCGAGGCGCTTGGCGTCGGCGGCGGTGCCGCCCCAGCGTCAGCGTCTTCCCATGTGCACGCATTCCACCTGCATTCTGGGGGAGGAGGGGATGAAGAGGGGGACGAGGAAGATGGGTGGAAGGACGTTGATGGTGAGCACGCCTCCCTTTTTTTTCGCGCCGTTCCTGGAATGCAGCTGATGAACATGATATAAAACACCAAAGACTCGTTGTGGAACCGCGCCGCGCTGCAGACCTACCTCCTCTGCGCGGGCCAGCATCCCGCTGGCGGGCTACGTGATAAACCACCAAAGTGGGTCCCTTTTAATCCGCCCCTTTTTTAAAAACACTCGTGTGGGCCGCTGACACTGGAGGTATGTAGACCGGCAGACGCATACCACACACACTACTGCCTCTCCGGCCTCTCGTCCGCGCAGCATCACGTCGCGCCCGACGCGGCGCGCCGCGAGGAGGTGTTGGCTGTGTGGCAGGGTGAGGCTGGTACGTCGTCCCTTTCCGCGTCAAATATTTGTCCAGAATGCTGAGATGTGTTTAATTTATTTTTTAAAGAAACGGCAGAGGAGGTGCTCCGACGCGAGCTGTACGCCGACACGCTCGCGTGGGCCGAGGAGGAAGGGACGGCGATGGTGCTCGGCGGGTCGGTGAACGGTGTTGTGCGTTTCTTCCCATTCCTGATCGTGTGCTTGGTTTTTTTTTGTGTGCTTACACGGTTTTATCTTATTTCAGAACGCGACGCATCCTGTCTTTAACCTCACGATGACGCATACGGAGGGCATCATGGGGCACTTTTACAAGCAGGTGATTCCGCGGCGGATGTAAAGAGACGGGGTGTTGGAAGATTCTGTGCTGTTGGATGTTCCGAGCATTTTTTCAAGTTGATTTGTTGTTGGTTTGTCCTGTTTTTAGTGTAGCACTATTAGGCATCAAAGACTTTATGCACTCTGGAATCCTGCTCACTCATTCCTGATTAGCGCCTAACCCAGGTTGGTCTCTCTCAGATCCTCGCCGCTTTCTTTTGTTGAGAGCAAATTTGGGTCCGTCGGGGTGTCCGAAGTTCGGGCTAAGACACTTCACAGCGGTCTGTTTTTTGCCTTGTCTATCGTACCGCACCCTGCGTTCATCTGTCGATTCACTACAGGCCCACGCTATCACCACAGTCAAGGTTGAGGTCAGTCTGTGGGAATATGGTCCGGGGACAGGAGAACTCACCAATGTGGCCCAACAGAACATCAATGCTGCCATTTCGTACTTACTCGGGATCTTCGAGTTTACTGGTACATTTCAATCTTCACTCTCAGCTTAAGTTGCCAGACCCATCGGTCGTGGATTCTTTCATGGAGAAATCAAAAGGATCGACAGGTACGCGGCTTGAAGTCATTTACCCAGCTCTGATTCATATGGCCGTATTTGCCAAAAATAAAACGATCGCCGCGTCGCTTCATGCGACGCTTCCACAATGGAGTCAGTACAGCCTGTGCATGCTTCATCGTTGATTCGGACCCGTGAACAGGACTAGTAGAAAGATTTTATTATCGCCGACAAACTAGTTTCTGTTGGCAATGACGAAAGCATGGTACCGATATAGATGTCCAAAGCACAGGGGTTCACCCTGTAACCTCTCGTTGTTTCTCCTCCCATGATTATGGTAGCAGTATGGGCCAACGGCTTACATGTGGGCACTTCAGATGAATCTACCGTACTTCCTTGAGCCTAGGAAAATACATTGCAATCTTCACGCTCAAAGGACGGGATAACATCAACGAGGGCATCAACAGTGCTATGATTGTCGGTGATCGCTACCACGAAGAATTTGTCAAGTATTTTTTTCCGCATAAAACGCAGCTTTTCCTTGTCGGATGCGAGTGAGATACTACGAAATATCATCCTAAATGACTAACTATTATTACATCCAGCGTTCTTTGTTCAACTACGCATCTCCTCAAATTCTCATGCAATACACCTTCCACCACCACTCTGTATTTGGGCGGCGAATTGAGCTAGCGTCACAATGACTGGACGCCATGCATACTCACCAGGAACCTGAACAACAGTCCATGCGGATGGCGCGCCAGGTCTCCATTGATGCTGAGTCCTGCAGTGTCGACGGACAGCTGAGCAATCGCTTGAGCAGTAATGACAGGCATTGCATCTGAAGCGCTTGATGTTGAAGCTATATTCCACAAAGGTCGGTACCAGCATTAATAGTGCAAGGAAATTCGGCGTAGGAGTAGCAGACAACGACGCACTGTTTTCCTTCGACATGGCTTCGGAGGTCCCTCTTTTGACGAAATACCGAGGTACATCCTGGATATGCGCAAACAAAGCTTCCGTTCTGTTCCTCTAGCGTTTACAATAGCTTGAGCTGCAGACTGAGGAAAGACTAACCTGAATGTGGGGAGTGGAGAGGATCGAGTGAGACATCGCGTATTGTCGCTTGGTAGAGACGGAGATGTTTTTTAATCTCAAGAGTGCGCGAGAGGTACAAGTTTTTATACCTTTCTAACATGAACGGAGGGGCGATCAGCTTTACGCAGGACCACTACTTCGGTACTCGGAGCGGTGGTCTCGGACGCACTGGCAATTAGCCTCCTGGCCATCGGTTGATGGCGTCGAGCTTGTCGCCAGCCAATCGGGTGTCCAGCTACGCGTGCGGCAAGGGATACGTGAAGGGCATACTAGTAACCAGGACCCATGGTCAATAGGAGTCTGGTTAAGGCTCAGCGATCACTAGGGCTCCACCCGCGCTCGGTCATTGGCCTGACCAGTCAGCGGCCAGTGTAACGTTGTGTTATAACCGCACTGCCTGTTGGAAGTGACCCTCATATTCATAATACTAGTATGATCGCTGTCCTGGTAGTACACAGCAGCTAACGCATCAGTAAAGATGAAAAATGCTTGTCGCGCCTTGTACAAGGTTGTGCAACCCTGCACAAGGCAACAATCCGACCATGACGCCGAAATCGGCAAGGCAAGTCTATTGGCGCAGCAAGGTCGCTTCCGAGTCGGAGGAGCGGAGTTTACACGGACAAGTGCCTGCAAGGCAAATGAATTTACTTTGTTCGGTTGTCTAGGAGTATTCCTAGACCATATTCCGGACCTTAAACATCATCTTGAGGCTTGGGAATATCCGAATACTAAGTATCAGATTATTTTTACGATTCAATGTTGGGTTTTATGTTTCATGACGCCTTGTCGCCTTGTGGCAAGGTGACAAGGCTGACAAGAAATTTGCGGTTTTACTGATGCGCTCGGTGTTTGCATTGGGGCTTTCCGGGCGCGCATGAACATGGACCCTCATGATGGTGGTCTGCATGACGGTTTCTCCCGTGTCGCCGGGGGTGTCTTCGCTGCACGGGTACCTGATTGACTAGTGACTAGCGGCCGGCAAAGCCGCATCAGCCTTTCCAAACGATCTTTCTTGAACGCGTCTTGCGTAAAGCTGCTCGTTTGCTCATTTCGAGCAGCAAGCCAGCACAATCTGACCAATACCTGCGCGGTGATTGAGATACACGACATAGAGGTGGAGAAGATAAAGGTCCTGCTCGAAGGGGCTCGACAAAGGAGAGTGGGTGAATTTTACAGCATTATCGTATTTTCATTCATATTGCAGAAACATAGCACAAAAACAAAGCAAAGCAAATGAGTGACTTATATCCCGTACGTATATATCCAAATATCAATAGCTAAACACATAAATGCACGAAACGAATGTGAACCGCACACTCAACAGATAACGCACGAATCCTGCCTCTTCCCACCTGGAATCGCCCTCGCCTCCTCTCTCAACACCCGATTAACCGTCCTCAGCTCCTCATTCTCATACTTCAGCCTCCGCGCCCTCGCCCTCTCCTCGCGCCTCAGCCGCGCCAGCACAGGCAACAAGCGCGCGACCTCCTCCCACGGCGCACAGCGCTCGCGTATGCGCTCGACCATCTCGGGCGCGACGCACTCGGCGGGGTCCGTCCAGGACGTGCCCCACTGCAGCAGGCACCCGGGCGGGCAGAGCGCGGAGAGGACCAGAGCGACGGTCTGCGGCGAGCGCGCGCGCGAGAGGCCGACGTACAGAGTGCGCAGGGAGGGGAAGGGGTTGAGTGACTCGAGTTCGTGTTGTGAGGGGATAGGGCTCGGGAAGGGGGCGCTGGGGAGCGGGCGTGAGCGCGAGCGGATGGTGGGGAGGGCGTCTTCGAAGGATGGGGGGAAGGCGAGGGCGGCGCTGGGGGGTGCTGGGGTGGAGGTGGAAGGGGCGGGAGAGGAGGAGGAGAGGGAAGATATGGAGGAAGATGAGGCAGATGATTTAGATGATGTAGATTTAGATTTGGACTTGGTACGAGGGAGCGAAGGGGCTCGTACGGGCGTTGGGGCGTCGTCGAGGAATAGTCCGAGGGTGTGCAGTCGCGGGCAGTGCCGAGCGAATGGGATCAGTGCGCGTAGGCCCAACGCGGGGTAGCCGTCGAGTGCAAGAAGCGGTTCGGGGTTTAACTTGAGGAGCTCAAGCGAGGGCCAGCTCTGTGCGAGCTTCTCGAGTTGCTCAAAGGTCACGTGGACGGGGGCTCCATGCATAATCTCAAAGTGCGTGAGGTTGGGTAGAGACAGAGCGGGCGCCAGATCCTCATATGTGAGCGGAGCCAGCGCGGCGTGCCCACGAAGGCGGGCGTGTGCGGCTGGACCTGGGCCTGTGGCAGTCATGGTATGAGGAGGGTCGGGAGGATGAACAGCCAGCGGGCCTTGGACATAGAAGTGGCCCGGCGGGATATGCAGCAGCTCGAGCACGAGCACGTTGAGCAAGCTGCACGAGTCCGCGAGGACGGAAAAGAGTGTGTGCACTTCCGCGGGCGTCTGCGCCCAGTATGAGTTGAGATAGAGTTGCGTCAGGTTGATCGGCGCCGTGGGTGCGTTCATGAACGCCGTGAGATGCTCGAGTCGTCCCGTTAGCGAGAGGTCGTATAGCTGCGGGAATGCACCCGGCAGAAGCATGGGCTCAAAGTGCGCGACATCGGCGGGGTCTCCGCGCCCCTGTTCATCGCCGTGTTCAAACTGGATCACACCGATATGCTGCATCGTCGCGAGGTGGGTGACGATACGGGAGGTGAAGAAGAACTCGGGGAAGATGACGGTGCGTAGCTCCGGCAGGCCTGCGAGGAGCGTGTCAATGATGATGTCTTCAACGCTCTCGATCGAGAATGGGACACGCAGGTCAAGTTTCGTGAGACGGGGCATGCGCGTAACGAAGTCCATGAAGAACTTCCTCGTCCGCGAGGGACCACCGCCGGAGATGACGTCGGGAACGCTGATGATGAGGGTGCGTACGCGCGGGTGCATGAAGAGGACAGCGCGCTCGGCAGAGCGCGGGGAGGAGGTGACCCATTCGAGAGTGTGTAGGTTGGGCAGGATCTCGGATGCGGTGCGTGTGAGGGCGACGTCTTCGAGGATGGAGAGCACGCTGCGGATCGTGAGCGGGTGCTCGTTCAGCCGCAAGCAGCGCACGCGGCGGGCATATTTGGCAAATTTGGACCAGTCGATGGCATCTGGTGTCCTCTGGAACTTCTGGAGGGACGTCAGATATTCGGGGGAGGCTAACAGGTAGGGAGGTGGACGCACCCAGACATGACCCTCAAGACACTCAATCGGACACAGCGCGTTGAACAGCTGAAAGATGTTGTCAACGTTTCTCCAAAGCATATCCAACCCAATGGTTGACCATTGTTTGCACACGCAGGCGTTGTTGACATTATCTTCCCGGTCGAGGTAGCTGAAGATGAACTCGAGGAGCTCTGGTACGAAGAGAACGCGGTGGGAAGCTGGGCGGAAGGCAGGTGCTGGTGCGGAAGACTTTGTAGTAGTACGTTTCCGAACACGACGCATGCTGTTCGAAGGCCGAGAGGGGCTTTGTTTGAATTGGAAGGACATTGGAGGCTAGAGGACAATTAACGCTCGCCTACTGAGCAAGGTGATTCAAGTGTGTAGGCATCGTTAGATTGGGCTTGATTACACAGTAACTCCCTGCTCACCTTGCTGGAATAAACCCAAAGGTTGGGTATAACACAAGCAGTGAGCGTAACCCGAGGTGCCAGGACCAAGGAGGTTGAGCAGGAGCAAGAGGGCCAAGGCCAACCGTGTCAACGCTGCCTATCGACCACGTGACGAATTCATCCATCTTCGGCAAACGTGGTGACGGTCAACTCTCCCAGCCTTCTTGACATCGTTCGTCACTGATTCATCTCCTGTGCATTCAACATGAGTGGCCCACACGCGAATATTTCATCGGTATGGATGAATGAGATTTCACCGTTCAACGTTCCTGAGCCAAAACTATCACGGAACCTGAACAACGCCATGTCCCTGGTCAAAAGGTTTCGCATAGATAACGATTACGTGGATGGTATTATGGTGCGCATATCGCGCTCTGCTTTGGATCGAGCTCCTGACCATAACATATTAAACGCGTTAGAGAGCTATCTTGGAAGAAGTTACACACCTTTCGCCTACGGAAGGAGGTCAGATGGATCCGGACTCAAAATGGAATTCCTTAACCCATGCAATTGTTCGGGCTGGCCTGATCGAAACCATGGCGGAGAAATTATCTGAGCCTTGGAATGAAGTCATATGCACAAATTACGATAAGCTCCTTATCGGATACACGTCGAAGTGCCACGGATGGCAAATCTTGCTGGATGTATCTGGCTCGGGAACCATCGAAGAGCGACGGCTCTCGCTAGATAGGCTTCTCAACACAAAGTTTCTCCAGTTTTGTTTATTGGTAAGCATATAATGGAGATCTTCATTTGCAAGCGATGACCAGTTCCTGCCAGGCTTTATATGATCGCGTGCTGATATTTAGCAGATTAACGGCGCAAATGACCACTAAGCTATGCAAAGAGTCATTCCTCCCCGAAAGACTACCTCCCCGAGACGTCGGCATCTTAATATCATATCTATGTACCCTTGCGTTGCAGAATCCGGACGCATACTCAGATCAGCTGATTAATAGGGCAACGAAGTGGCAGTGTCACCCTAGTGGACTACACGACCAAGATCCTTGGAACAGAAACGACAAACATCGGCGCATGATGGCCAAACGAGTCTTCGGAGAGTTGCAGGTTCATGCCCTCACCGCCGCTCGTGCACTGGTTATCCTGAACGTCAAGTGGTCACCGTCGCACCTTCTCGGGATTACCAAAGAGAGCCCTAACCTCCTTGATTTACTTCTGGATTGTACCATTCTTGAGCCATGCGACGTCAACCCGGAAAGCGCAGCTACCTCACTGGCATGCGAAATATTATGCGCTCTGTTCAGGTGGCCGTCCGAGATGATACCTGGTGTATCAACATCGGAGTCTAAAGCCTTTGGTCTCGCCAATACAAAGACGTTGTCCCAGTCGATGAAGTTGCTTACTTCTCAAAAAAGATGGGCGGAAAGACTTGTCGAAGCGTGGGCAGCCTCTGGAGCGTGGCTAGAAGGAGGCGATGACCTCCAACGGTGAGCGCCCAGCTTTTTTGAGAGATATGAATAGGAAGCTGAAGTGCTGTCAAATGACAGTCGTGTGGCTGCCGTCAAAAGTCTCTACGATGGTAGCCGGTGTCCGTACATGGAGGACGTATCTGAGACGATCTACGAAATAAGAAGTCAGTATTTCGCTCGAAGTCTTCACATTGCTCAGTCTCATTCTAATATCGCGCAACAGGTTACGCTCGCATTTCCATTCTTCGGCTCATCGCGACGATGACACATTGCGCGGACGCTGCCGGGGTCAAAAACGTCGACATCTACTCTCTGTTGCCAGTAGCATACCAAGCTTCCCTCAGGAACGACATCGCCGAACATCCTCTCGTATACGATATTTGCGACTTGCCAACATGGACTAAAGTACACGCCACTCGTGATGACCACTTTGATCCTTTCATTGTGGCGCCAGAGTATGTCCTGGGCCCTACAGCGTTTGCGCGCCTGTTGGTGATTTTAGCCCAGCGAAACGCCCTGAAAACAGTACAGCTTCTCCAGAAGGCACCCGAAGGCCTCTCACCCCATACCTCCCTGGCTCAGATCCAGCAGATAACACACCCAGATATCATCCGGCGCTTTCTAGAGATTTGCGTGCTGCGCACGATGGACTATTCTCGGGAGACGCTCCAGAGCGGGGATGCCACTACCTCCTCCGACTCGGATGCTTTGCGCTGCGACGCCTCTTTCGGTTATACAGCCGAGCTCGCGGCGGCCGTAGTCGCTTTCCACAATCTCACGGACGGCGCGTACACCAGCTTCAGTACCGCGCTCAGGGCGCGGTACTTGCTGGTGGTGTCGCTGGGCAGCGTAGCGAAGTATTCGATGCAGGTGCACCAGCACCGGCGCGCGTATTTTGCGGCCCTCGCAGCGCTTGATCTGAACATGAACAGCGCCCCTGATCAACGGGTTGAAGCTGGCTATATCCGGGAGTATGAGAAGTTAGCCCGTGAGGCTGAGGTGGCACTTGACTCAAAGTCGTCTGTACAAAAGTAATTTGTGCTAGGCGAACAAATTATCATTACTGTCCACTTCTGAACAACTATGTCCACCTTTTTTACCTGATGATTGATACTTGGTATATGCTCTGAGGACATGAACTTGCGCTCGCGAGAAGCATGAATCGATATTTTCTGCATTTGTGAAGACTCTGGATGTTAAACTAGGTGTTTCATATGCGGAATGCGAAGCTCGTGTCCTTGCGTTCAATGAGGAAGCTCAGCGCTTAGATGAAGGCCGGGTATTGAGACTTACGGTCTCTAAATACTCAGGTACGTCCTCAAACATATATACGCAAGCCTTAATAGATTACTCAAATGAAACTGCGAAATAAGACATGAGGGTTCCGGAACCACGGCCCGAAGCCGCCGGAAGACATGGTGGTCGCGAATATTAAGAGTCCGACGGCGCAAGTTTTTCTCTGCAACCCTCTCGACTTCGCGTACGGCATATCCCTCGCTCTACAGGATGGAAGATCGTCAAGTTGGGGTGGATCTTGAACTGAAGGACGAGATTCGACGCATGTTCGACGCCCCTAAGCCTCAGCTCACTAACAGCCTCGCCAAATGTTTCGAACAAGCGAGAACACCTCAAATAGACAGCGCTGCTGTCATTTCAATTCTGGTGAGCCTCTCAGACTTTGGCCAGGTTTCGATGGAGTGTTACGTACATAAGCTCATAGACAAATTTTAGAGCGTTATGCGAGAGATAGTCGATAGTCGCCCCTCCTAAGCATGCGATAGAAAGCTCAGCGACAACAGCTCCACGCAGCTCAAAATGGACTTCTTCTGTGGAAGCAAGCGTTCGAGCTGGTCTAATTGAGACTATGGCGTCCATACTCTCGGTTCCTTGGGATGAGTCCATGTGCTCGGATACTCCGCAACTCATCAAGGGCTATATGGTAAAGTCTGACGCTTGGGATATCTTGGTTAGCGTCTCTTGCTCGGAAGGCCTCCGGGAGCGACGTTCCGCGCTCAACAGGCAGCTAAAAGCAGGGATCCCTCAGACTTGTTTGACTGTGAGTATCTCAACGAGCCACCTTGGTCTGGTATGCACTTAGAGACGTCATATAGGCCTTGCATCATCCTGTGCTTCTATTCAGTAAATTGACGGCGGAGCTCCTTTGGACGCTGTGCACCGAGTCTTTCCTCCCCGAGATGCTATCAGCTCGGGACTCTGGCATCATCATCACGTCTCTGTGCACCTTTGCGCTGCAAGATCCGCAGGGCTATTCGGATCAGTTAAACGACCCTGCAAAAAAGTGGCAAAGTCTACCTCTCAAGCTGTACGACGAGGATCCGTGGTGTCTCAACGATGAATCTCGATAGGCTATGGCAAGGATAATCTTCGGGATATCGCAGAATTACGCGCTCCATGCTGTTCGCGGCTTGCTCTGTATGAAACCGATGTCGACGTCAAAGCGCCATCTCGAAATCATGAAACAAAATCCGACACTTATGGACTTGCTTTCAGACTACACCATCCTCGAACATGGTCGTTTACTCCCGGAAAGCGCGGCGAACTCAATGGCATGCGAGGCTTTGTGTGCTCTGTTCAGATGGCCTCCCGATACAATCCCTGGAGTGTTGACGTCAGCTGACAAAGCTTTCGGTATCGGAAACACAAGGGCGTTGATCCAGTCCATGCAGATTCTCACATCACAGTCTAGGTGGGTAGAACAGCTGATAGAAGCATGGATCGCCTCCGGGACTTGGGCTGAGAAGACCGAAGAGTTGGAGCGGTGAATGAGTGGTCGACAGTAAGTGGAACACTGAGATAATATATATTTCTAGTAGCTTTACAGCCGTCGAATCCCTCTGTAACGACGACCGATCTCCCTTCACGGAGAAGGCACGACAAAGCAATCTTGGCAGAGCCGGTGTGCTACACTCGCCGTGAACCATTCAAATGACTGATCTCACTATGTTTCCGTTCAACAGGCCGCTCTCGTATGTCCATTCTCCGCATTGTCATCACTTTAACACACTACGCCGATGCTGCTGGTGTCAAGAACATCAACATCTACCCCTTTCTGGTGATTGCGTATCAGGCTAGCGACAAGATTGCTTCGGAAGATGATCGCCATCGCCTACAGAAAATCCTCGAGTGGCCACAATGGGAACAGCTAGCGCGCGACCGTGAAATTGTCCCGTTCAGCGTGGCTCCGGAATATGTCCTTGGACCAACAGCTTTCGCGCGCCTCTTGATTGTGTTGGCTCGGCGAAATGCGCTGAGCAGTACTCAGCTCCTCCACAAATCTCCTGAAGGCTTATCACCCACGACTTCCCTCGCCCAGATCCTGCTTATGACACATTCAAACGTGATCAAGCGTTCTGTGAAGATTTCTGGGGAACGTGTCAGATATCATATGGTATGATAGAAGCTGACGCACGCAGGAAAGCCAAAATCGTACATGGGGACTCCCGCTCCAGCATCGCTTACGGAGAGTGTGCAGAGCTTGCAATGGCAATCGTCACTTTCTCCGACCCCACACACAACCCAAATATCAAGGCCGCTTACAGGGTACGCTACAATCTCGTGACAAACCTGGGCGACGTCGCGCAGCTGGCATTTAAGCTGAAACAGTATCGACGTGCGTACTTCGCGACACTCGCGGCACTCGATCTGGACGTACACAGCGACCCTTGGGAGAAGGCAGATGCCGGTCTTATCAAAAATTATAAGCGGGTCGCTCGCGAAGCTAAGGAAGTGCTTGACTCAGAGTAAAATGTGTAGAAAACCTTAGCGTAAACCCAAACATCCTTTACCCCTAGTTTACCCTGCCCATTCCAGATATTTTTCATCTTCTCGTCCCGTCAAATGCTATCATTTCTCACCTTCCATCGCCCATTTTCTACACGCAGTTTCCTCAACGTAGCTACGATTTCCCCGCTAATACTAACCTCCTATATTATGACAGGTTTGTGCACGAGCGCGGCCAGAGAGACTGGGAAAGGCGACAGTGCAACGCTGATACGAGGTGAGCCGCCATTATTGTCCCTTTCCTTGTAAATAATGCGGATGGCGCTACTTTTACGCAGAGATTTGAGTCGGCATATCTGAAGTCAATGGATCCGAGAGCTTATGAAGTTGCAGTCAAGTTTCTGCCAAAGAAAGAACATCGTGGAAGATTTAGGGCTCCGTTGAAGTCGGAAGGTCGCCTCAGAGCCATCTAGAATGGGAAACTTGAAATCGCAACAGGATTTCAGACCATCACTACCCTACCAACCGCTCACTGGCTCCGTTAACTTGAACTTGACCTTGAGCGTTTGAGAACTTCAAGTTGAGTCTCCGAAATAGGTTTCGGCCGATGCCGAGATATTTATTGTCCGCCATACTTGCGCAAACGGTGTTGCGGCATTGGAAATGCGTTCACGCGACCCTGGCTTTTAGACTCGTGACCAGTCTCCCGAGACGCGTACCCAAAAGGGTAACAGGCCTGGGGGGCCTTCGCATCTGGGAGACTGGGAGATTTCGTCGACTCCCTGGCAGGGAGCCAACTGAGTTTGAAAACTGGCAGTAAAGAAGCATCAAGAAGCGTCGGAGATCAGTTAGGTAAGCCGGCATCCCCGCAGCCGATCGGGCACTTGTAGTCTCGCGTCGCGTTGCGCTCTGTACTACGCGCCGTGTCCATGAAATATCATGAGTTGTACCCTCTCCCTCCTGTGTGAACACACGATATGTTACCCTGGACTCATCCTGACTACTACCAGCCTCCTCCATTGTCTCCACTGCTGTTATTTTAACTGCTGCAATCATGATGAACTATACCTCTGGTTAGGCTCTGAGGAAACCAGGCTCAGGGAGCTTTTGGCTGCTCTGGCTGACATAAATACGACAGAAATTGGCCTCCACAACTCTTGGCATGATCCTGGATACTCTGTGGAAGAGTGCTACATCAAGGCTGGGCTGGAGTGGTTCTCGAAGGCAGGAAAATCAACGACTAAAGTACTGATTATGATTCTATAAGCAAAGACTCAGATAGGCTATTGTACACCTTATTCGACTAGTTTTCTGGGCAGCCAGGTGCCTACTTTCCTCTGGAACGTGCTCGGAAATGTTCTCCAATGGAAAGCGAGGCTCGAATCTATGGTAAGAGACAAATCTATGATGCACACTGTTCTCATATCCGATTTTTTAACGGAATGTGCGAACACTCCGGATGAAGCTGGTGAGGCGGGGAACGTGTCCATTATGTCGGAAGAACTGGTCAGGTACGCAGAGGATGTTACAACAATTGCCGCTTTGAATATCCTATAAAATATGAGAGGGGGATCATGCAGAGACGAGCAGAGTGAGCACCTTCCAAAGCTCCTCACCATCCACTGGGGTCTCCTGGTTGACTTGAATCATAGGGACGCCGAAGCTATCAAACTTCGAAAACTGAAGCCAGTAAGCATGTAGTTGGATGAATCAGAGCACAACATATACAACTGTCTTGCAAAAGTTTGAGAGGCGAGGTGGCGAGTGCAATTTTCAAGAAGGGATCACCAAAGGGAATGGGAAGGATCATAATAAGCGTCAGGTTCTCAACAAAGGCGGGAGAGTGCTTGTCAAGCGATCGGCGTGCATTATCAGACAATAATTATAAGTCGATATGCTCGAATACATTCACAACATAGCGATGATAATCGGGGTAGACAATGTAGGATACAGACGAGGCGGCACTTAGATGCGATGCGTCTGCGATTCAGGGGCTCAGTTCCCTTATCCGGGAGTGAGCTTCTCTCGGGCCGAGGCCAAATTCAAACTCAGTTGGCTCCCTGCCAGGGAGTCGACGAAATCTCCCAGTCTCCCAGATGCGAAGGCCCCCCAGGCCTGTTACCCTTTTGGGTACGCGTCTCGGGAGACTGGTCACGAGTCTACCTGGCTTTGCCTTCAGAGCGATTTCTCATTTTTAGCCGCTCAAGATGGACGACTACCCAAACATTTCTGATCGCGGCACCGACGTCGAGATCCGACGCATCTTCGAGGTCCCTGAGCCTCAGCTCACTGATAACCTGACCGAGTTTTTCACGCGGGCGAGAACACTTCCGATAGACAGCGATTACGTATTTTACATCTTAGTGAGTACCCGATTTTACGGCCGAGCGCGTTCATAGCTTTTGAAGTCTCACACGTATGTTTTATTAGAGGATCATGAAGAAGGTAGTGCCCATTCGGGACGGGACAGAAGATCTCCAAACAGCTCGGAATAACAACTCGGGATGGCCTCCTTCTGTGGAGTCAAGCGTTCGAGCTGGGCTGGTCGAGACCATGATTGCCATAATCTCTAACCCCTGGGACGATGCGCTATACGAAGATACGCGTAAACTTGTCAAAGGCTACATGGCGAAGGAGCTGGCCTGGAGTATCCTGATCAATGTCTCTGAGTGGGGAGACTTTCATGAGCGACACTCCCTGCTCGACAAACAACTGAAAGCAGGTGTTACTCAGCTATGCTTGAAAGTAAGGTGTTTCATGTACCACTCTAACTTACAGTCTTTGCTCAACAGTTCATTTCAGAATCTGTACCATCGCGTGCTGTTGTTTAGCCGCCTAGCGTTGCAGCTGCTGTTTGCGTTGTGCCGCCACTCTTTTCTCCCCGAAAAGCTATCACCTGGCGAAGTTGGCACTGTCACCGAATGGCTCTGCACCTTTGCACTGCAAGATGGTGACTGCTACGCCGATCAGCTGATAGATCCAGCGAAGAAGTGGCAGTGGGAATTCAGCAGTCTAAGTCTGGAGGGTCCATGGAACAAAGGCGATGAAACTCGGCGTCTAATGGCTAGGCATCTGTTTGAGCAAAACCAAACACGGGCTCTCAACTCCGTCCGCGTTCTACTATGTATGGACAGAACTTCGTCACCGACTCGGCTGCTTCAAGTCATCAAACAGACCCCAACGATCATTGACTTGCTTTTGGATTGCATGACTATCGAGTTCCCCCGCGTCTTTCCAAAAAGCACACCAAGCTCACTAGCATCCGAGGCTTTATGCGCCTTGTTTGCGTGGTCACCGGACGTCGTCCCCGGAGTATCAACGTCAACGGAGAAAGTCCTTGCTGCGGGTGACATAAAGGCATTGAAGCAATCAATGCAGTTTCTCACTTCGCAGGACAAGTGGGTAGATAGGGTTGTACAAGCGTGGATGGACTCCGAAGAATGGAGTGAGGACTCTGAAGTTGTCAGACGGTAAATACAAGGGCCGCACTCTCTAACACGGCGAATGCTCACTGACTGTGCGCCCGTAGTAGCTTCGCTGCTACGAAATCCCTCTATGGCGCTTGGGGATCACCAACAAAGATGAGAGCAGTTGCGAACATCCGCGACGGGCTCGGTAAGTAAACTATACGCTTTTAGCCGTGAAAATGAATGATCTAATAGCATTTCACGGTCATGAATAGGCCGCTCTCGCATATCAATCCTTCGCCTCATCACCACACTGACGCATTGCGCTGACGCTGCTGGTGTCAAAAACGTCGATATCTATCCCTTACTTGCCGTGTCATACCGGGCTAGCTTCAAGATTGGCGCAGAAGAGCACCATCGTACGCAAGATATTTGCGAGTGGCCGTTATGGACAAACCTGGCGCTCGTGCACGTCGGGTACATCGACCCTTTTCATGTGGCTCCGGAGCGTATAATCGGACCTACGGCTTTCGCACGTCTATTACTCATATTGGCCCAGCGAAATGCTCTAAACAGCATCCAACTTCTCCAGAGAACACCCCACGGCCTATCTCCTACAACCTCCCTCGCTCAGTTGCAGCAAATGACGCATCCGGACATCATACGGCGTTTTCTCAAAATTTCCGTCTATCGGGCCAGGATTTATATGGATAAGGCGACAGACATGGAATTACTCGGCCACGCGAAGGAGAATTCGCCTCTATCCAGCGTCGCATTCAATAGCACCGCGGAGCTCGCAGCGTCTATCGTTGCCTTTGTCAATCTTACGGGCGACGTATACACCGGCGCTACGTACAGGGCCCATTTCACGCTTGGGATGGCTCTGGCAAGCTTATCTCAGTCATCGCTACAAATGAGGTTATGGAAACGTGCTTATTCGTGGGCTCTGACGGCGCTTGAATTCGACAAGAAAAACGCCCCTGAGGAGAAGCTCAGTGACATTCTTGTTAAGGGTTGCAACCGGGCAGTTCGCGAATCTAAACAGGCCCTTGATCCGCAGTAGAAGAGAAATAAAGGTGCCATTTCTATCGTTTAGACCAAGCATCGACTGACAGCAACATTTTCCAGGCAGCAGTCTCAGTCCAAGGCTAGCAGCCTACGTCTGAGATCTCAATGGCATTTTAATATCCAGGTATCCATCTGCATACAACTGCGCATGGCGACATTATTTTTTATCTTCTTCATCTTTCTGTCGATACGACTATAGAATATAACCATGTCTGACTATGCTTATGGTTTCCTATCTTCCGTACGAAAACAGCAAGCCCTTGTTCACACCCGCCCACCCCGGATTCTCCCTCTTCGAGCGCAAGAGCTCACCAGGCCACGTCGCGGGTGGTGCCTTCCTCTCCGGCTGCTGAGCCTGTTCTGCCTGCACAGCGACCTCATCTCCGAGCACCTTCTCGATTTCCCCGCGCGGGAAAGCCCTCTCCGCAGCCTCAACATCCTTCTGGTCCACGCACGCGTCCGGGTGCGACATGTGAAAGTCAGCAAGCACCGCGCCATGGACAAGTCGCGCAAGAATGGAGATGCGCTCGGCGATGCCGGGCGAAGTATGCAGCGCTATCGCCACCCAGACCTCGTGTACATCACTCTTTGGCGTGTCGGGGGCATGGGAGGCGATAAAGGCGGCTGCGGCGTCTGCTCCTTCGACCTCGAAGCGCTGTGGCCCATCGCATACCGCCGAGGTGCCCATGTCGTGGAACATGCATGCGACAAACAGCAGTGGGAGGTGGGCAGAGGTGTGCCATGGGGCATATTCGGGCGCGACGGAGAGCGTCTTGGCATGGATGTAGGTGCGCAGGCTGTGGGCAAGGATGAGCGGGTGGAGGTGGGCGCGGACGTATGCGTAGGCTGCGAGGGACAGGGGGTCGGTTGGAACGCAGGCTGGAATGTCGGTTCTTGCGTTTGGGAATATTTCTTGTCCTGGTGCTTGGCTGGAGCTGAGTTGCTCGAGGGCGGATGGTGGACACATCGTGAAGGACGCCTGCGCTATGAGTGGAAATAAAGCATTGGCAGGTAAAATCAACCGAATATATATGGGTTTCCTTTCAGTGATTGCTAAGACGCTATGATTCTGCCCGAAGCTTGACCGAGGCAGCAATTGCGTGACCGTCGCTCGCCCCACAATATCGCAGAGTTTGTTTCATCTTGCAACCAATTGGAGTTGCGAGTGTTAGTCGTGATTGGTTGCAATTGCGCTGCAACGATTGTCATCCCGGGCCCCGGAGCAGAGACTAGAGAGAGCACGTCAGCAGCAGTATAGTAGTATGGATGTAGACGCGATCCATGTCTGGTTTCACTCATGGGGCACTCTCTGAAACCTGCTAAGTTGAAACTGTTGTCTCGTCACTTCCCACGCGCCCGCGTTCGGCGCACGCCCTAGATTGTCGCAGAGTTAGCTGATCTTCCTCATTCTATTGGATCACTCATATGCTTGCATACAGTCCACAAAACTGTTTGAGCGTTGTCTATGAATGCAAAGAACACATATACGCGCCATCTATACATCGACAGGTTCAGAGACTCCCCAATTTCCAAGGATCATACGATGAGATTCCCGGGTGGCCCGCTCACGGGCTCTCCGCTCCTCGAAAATGGGCACCACTCTATCTGCTAGATCATCCACCGTCCACCTATCTACCTTCCCGTCTGCTTCGTCTACATGTAGCTTCTTGATCGCAGCAGTGAGCTCCTTTCCGGCGTACGTGAAGTCAGGAACCCAGGTAGCTGCGTGAACGAGGTTCGGAAAGGAACGCGCCAAGACGACGCTCGCAGGCGCAAGGTTGTCATATTTGGTGCGATAGATCTCAAGGACACGAAGGCTCTTGCTTCGCTGGGAGATCTCCGCCGACGGGTTCGTGAAGTTAGGGCTGTCCGAGTTGTACGGAATTGCGAGCTTCTCTATGCGGGGAAACGCTTCTGCTACGGTGAGGATGTCGTCAAAGGAGATGGGGCATTTGGACTCTTCTCTGTCCAGAGACGGGAATGAAAGTTCTTCCAGGAGGGGCCAGGATTGGGCCATTTCGAGTAGTCCACTTAAGGTAGGTATTACGTCGGGGAAAGAATACCATATGTTGAGACAGCGGAGTGCGTGGAAGTGAAGTACGGGACGGAAGGTGGACAGCTTCAAGAGACTTATGTGCCGCAACGGGGATCCATAATTGGCCAGCTCAAACCTTTGAATTTCTGTGGCCCCAGGAAGTGTTCTCAACGTATCACAGAGCTGATATACGTCGTCGGGGGAGAGCTGGTCGTGGAAATCGAGGGCAAGTGAAGATGGAATGCTGGTGAATGTATGAAGTAGGGCAATGCCATTCTCAACTCGCGGTAGAACGAGTTTGAGCGTAGCGAGTGCCGGAAAGGCGTATAACGTCCTACTTTCTTGTGAGTGTTTACACTTGCCTTCTGTGCTTCCGATCCACATCCCAGTCAGCCTGAGTTCTCGGAGGTTCGGGTTGGCGGACGCATAAGTAAAGGCATCGCTCAAGAGATCCGGACACTGTAATGAAACGAGGCTGGGTAGCATAACGATGCAGTCGGCAACTGCCTGCAATATCGAGAGGCTTCCTGCTCGGTCATCCTCACCGCTAACTGCAAGACGGCGCAGAATAGGACATGCGGTAGGTAAAGCCTGAAGCAGAACAGCGGCGTCGTCTCGGTCTGAGTTTATATGTAGGTCGAGGGTCGTGAGGGAAGACAGCAACAATGGCCGATGAACGGACCAGGGTCGAGATGTCGCTGCTTGACGGTCGTCCCAGATAACCAAATGTCGGAGTTTGGGGAACACGCTGTCCGCGGTCAAGCCGACAGGTTCTCGTAGCAGACCTCCGGCCAAGTAAGCGCAAAAATCGGATCCAGACATAGAGCCCACAGTGAGTTTTCGGACGTGACGAGTTACTCGCAGAGGCGGTCTATGTTTCTTTGAGATGGGGCTGACAAGAAACCCGTCTGACAAAAGGGTTTGCGTGAATTCGAATCTAGGGTGGGAGGACGGAATGACTTACGATATTCCCGTCCGCATCCCGTTTAAAATCCATGTCCCTCGCAGGCACCACCATCATCAACTCAATCATTCTGGTTGCTTCTGCCCAGCGCATGTCAAGTGCAGGACTCCGGAACGCCTTGCAGGTCCTTGAGAGCGCTTCAAGGGCATGCTTGTTCTCCCAATCTGCGTCCATGACCTGGTTGCCGTCATGGTAAGGGTTTACTGAATGAAGCTCAGCGCATATCATGCAAAGAATCTCTGGAAGAGGAAGGGCACGATGCATTGGTGGACGATCTAGTGTACAGGGATGCGAGATGGTGAAAAGACAAGCCGCACTGTGACGGAGCATGTCGGAGTTGGGAAACGCGTCGCGTCGCTGCCCGTACTCCCACGTGCTGGACACCCCACTCGTCTCTTGGTCTCATTCTTTGTTCACCAAGGCGCAGGGCCGACTCAGGGATCCCACTGTACTTCTGTGCTATGGGCTTGAGAGACGCAGTGCGATGTGGCGACTATCTCACAATCTTGACTGCATCGGCTGCCTGGGCTTTCTGACTCCCTGGACAGCAGTGCTAGTGAACATCTAATGTTCCTCTCATCTGAACGGACAGCTACATCGCAGCCAAGGCTTGTATCCATGAGACATCTGTGAGTCTGTTTTCCCTTTCAATTTCTTTTAGCACCCATACACGCAACGTTAGAGCACACCCTCCGCCATACCGAGTCCCTCTGCTTCGACGGCTGCACGAAGCGGGTCGCACAGCTCCTTCGTGTATGGCGCATGTACACCAGGAGTGGAAATGACGCCATCTAGGACGAACTGTACTGCGATGCCGCACGGGATACCGACGAGACGGGCCATCGCAGAATGTCCGCCCGGTTCGCCGTACGCCTCTAGCGTCGACGTCAGCGTTTGCTAATATGTGCCCTAAGTCAGATCTACAGAGAGTAAACGGGAAGAAATTGGACATACCTTGCTCCCGTCGTTCCACTCTACCTCAAAACGGTGCTGCAACATGACTAGGTCTCGCTCGTTTTCTTCGTACTTCATCAGCACTTCCAGCCGCGCGCAGAGTGTGTCGAGCAAGTTGCCCCCTCGCACGGTCGCCTTTTCGTCCGAAAACAACCCGATCCATTTGAAGCCGGAAATGACCCTTTCCGCCTCCGCTTCATTCGGGAACGCACAAAGTTCCTTGATGCGCTGGACAAGCGTACTGCCCACACCGCTATCAGCACAGCCACCCCTTATGGCCAGGGCGGACTCACCTCTCCGACGCGTTGTTTGAGTTTATTGCCTTCTGCGTCACCTTGGCCCAGCTCATCCCATCCTTCAGCCACTCCTTCTCTTGAACATCTATCCAACCTATCTTCACCAAGGCGGTGATATACTCCGGGAATCCTTTGTACCTCAGCGAGCCACGAGCGACCGTCTCGGCCTCGGGAATCCCGTAGAACTCGCGGAACGGGACTGAGTTCCGGTTCGGATACGCGACGAACGAAAATGCGGGAGAAATGTGATAGGGTCTAGCATTGGCCATGACTTCCTCTCCGGGAACGTCTACCTGTTTGCCGTTCGAGAGGTAAGAGGCTGGGTTGAGCAGCCCGAGGATCATCCCGCGCGCGGACCATGAGAACTTGTATCCGAGCGGGTTCGTGGCGGCTTCGGGTGCGGGGAGGCCTCCACAATACGAGGTGAACGCTTTGATCTTGAGTATCTCCGTCAACGTTCTCACTAATATACACAGCGTGAGGCCTACCTTTCCGCCCTTCGCGTGCACTTCTCCGATCGTCTTGATCGCGTACAGGTGATCGATTCCCGGATCGACGCCTATCTCGTTCATCACGACGATGCCCGCCGCCTTCGCTTCTGCGTCGAGCGCTCGCATGGCGGGCGAGACGTAGCTCGTCGTCACGACGTGTACTTTTGCTTTGATTGCAGCCTTGATGACGTCGGCATGGAATGTATACGGGATAAGAGACACGACGAGGTCGTACTTCGCGACCTCGGCCTCGAGCACCGCTGCGTCGGATGCATCGAGCTGGATAGCCGACGTGTTTAGCAGACCTGACGCGAGTGCTTCGGCGCTGGAGAGCGTTCGGCAAGCTGGTGGGGGAATCCTGTCAGTCTCTGGTCGACAGTCCGTACAAGGAAGCGTTCACCAATTGTCAGCTGATTCTTCGAGTCGCGGACGATGTATTCTGCGCAAGGTCTGGCTACGTAGCCGGACCCAAGCAATAAGATCTTGCGTGCATCCCCATCTCCGTGCTTGTCTGCAGTACGTGCCGCTGAGTGTAAGGACAGCCGCTATATGGCACACTTGCCTAGGGCGGATGGGTTATTGAGTGATGTCATGCTGGTAGAAAGGGAGGCTTGGTATCTTCTGACAACTCATTTCTAGCCATAATATACTAGTCGCCCCGTTGGGGTCGTCGAGTCACTTGGCGTCATGGCGTTCATCCTGGGAAACTTATGCTTACTCTAGCACTCACCACGACACGTAGTGGTTTTGATTTGGTCTTGACCCCGTCGAAATCTAGGAGGTTGACAAAAAGTGGTGCGTGTTGGGCTTAACAGAATCGGAAGCCGTGAATGCAGTTCAAGCCAGTTCGTGCATAAGTTGATATTACTCTGGCTGTACAGCCTGTACTCACTTGCCATTAATTCATTATTCCGAAACCTGAAGAGTAATTGACGTTATAGCGTCAACACAGGCGCTGTTGACCGCTTTACATTTGAGCCTTTGTCTTCAGATACTTCGCTGGATGACTCTGTTATTCCTAACTATTTCACATTAATGAGGTCGCTGATCACAAGCAGTAGATGTGTGTTATCAACCGCTCCTCCGTCAATGGCGGATATCGGCAATCCCCGCATGTCGCTTGTGTCCCTGACTTCCCGTATGAAGGCCTCGAGGCTTCTCTCCATCCCCAAGTTTCGGGCTCCTCCTACTGTCCGAACATGCACAGCGCTCATACGTGGTGAAAACCCATCAAATATTTACTTCATGGGGAACTGTATTAATATGACGGCCAGAGCATGAGGGGCAACGCGCCACAACATGGAGGGAACAGGTGTTTTCCGATGTCGCTCGGCAGCACGATCGATATAAGCCACCCTTTGTTATCATCGCTCTCCCTCTTCCTTCCCTCGTTTATCGATATCTCTTCCTCGAAGACTACTCGCAATGACATCAGGGCCATCGGAGCACAGCGTAGCCTACAATATCGGAGATGTCACTCAGTCCCTCGGCACGCTCACAGAAGGCAACATACGCAACGTTCGATACGTGCGCATCCAATGGGTTGACCTCGCCAACACCATCCGCGTGCGCGTCCTACCTGTCGCGTACTTCCGCAAGCTCTTCCAAACACCAACACCGGGCATCACTGTTGCGACGTGCGCGCTCGCACTCGTCTTCCTTCAACTGCCTGAGGGCTTCAGCCCCGTCGGCGAGTGGGTTCTACGACTAGACATGGCGAGCCTGCGGGCGTGCCCGTATGCGCCTGGTCACGCAGTGGTGCACGGGTTCTTCGAGGAGAAGGTACCGCGACCGTTACTTGGAGGCGGGGAGACAATGGAGCTTGCGGCCTGTCCGAGGACGATACTGAGGCGGGTTACCAAGTACGTTCATTGCGATTTTAAGCGCTATCGCGTCGTTAACATGGCTTGTTTGCTTTGCAGACAAGCAAAGGAGGAGCTTGGCGTCGAATTCCTTGTTGGGTTCGAGTCCGAATTCGTTCTTCTTTCTGCGACGGACCCGCCGAAGGCTATCAACGACGACGGATGGTGCATCGCATCATCAATTTCCGCCGGCACGAAAGGACAGGAGGTTCTCGAAGAGATTGCGGATGCCATCCAGCAAGCTGGGATCGAGCTGCAGATGTATCACTCCGAAGCCGCGCCAGGCCAGGTGCGCATATAGCCACTCCTTTTCCGTCATCCGTACTGATTGCCGTTACGAACAATAGTATGAAATCATCACCGGCCCGCTTCCCCCACTTGAAGCAGCTGATGCTCTTATTCACACCCGCCAGACGATCTTCAACATCGCGACCAAGCACGGTCTACGCGCCACGTTTGCTCCTAGGATTTATCTCGATACATGTGCGTTACTTGTCCACGTGTTTTTCTGAGCTCACCATATCCGACATCACAGGCGGAACTGCATGTCACACGCACATCTCCCCACACAAACGGGACTCCCCGCTCACCTCCCAACCGCCCTCCAAATCCTCCCCCTACCTCAACGTCCTCGAAAGCACCTTCCTCGCGGGCATCCTCGCGCACCTCCCCGCCATTCAGGCCTGCTCGCTGCCCCTTCCCCCGTCGTACGGGCGCATGCTGGATGGCATCTGGTCCGGCGGGACGTACGTCGCGTGGGGGATCGACAACCGCGAGTGCCCCGTGCGGCTGTCCAACGCGCACCAGCCACGCTCGCGCAACTTTGAGCTCAAGTGCGTAGATGGGCTCGCGAACCCGTATATTTCGCTCGCTGCTATCGTCGGCGCAGGTGTGCTCGGCATCAAGGAGGGGAAAGAGGTGGATGCAAAAGACTGCTCGGGGGCGAAGACACCTGCGGAGCTGAGTGATGCGGAGAGGAGGGAGATGGGGATTGTGAAGAGGATGGCACTTAGTTGGGAGGAGGCGAGGGAAAACCTGGCGAAGGACGAGGCGCTCAAGGGTATCATGGGCAATGAGGCTGTCGAGTTGTATCTTGCAGTGAACAAGGTGCGATCTGTCATTTTATCTACTCTGGTCGACAAGCGTACCAACCTCACCCTCCCGCAGGTTGCGGGCACAGTCTACGGTGACGGTAAAGAGAGGGAACAGGCGAAGTTACTTGTTGAGAACTATTAGAGTCGTAGTGTTGGTTTTTAATTTTGCTACTCGACCTCTACCAAGATCCTGCCTCTGGTTCATTGCACACAACGCTATACTAGGTGTCGCCAACCGTCTGAGATATCGATGCAAACTATCAAAGTACACATTGTACATACGGTGACACTCACTCCAAACACAGAGATTGCTCTACAATCTGACCATTTCTTTTCCCATAGGCCTAAACAAACCTGGGCTATGTTTATCTGCCAGTGTGCGATCTGGACAAAACGTAGCGGGAAACCTTGAACTCAAAGCACCCGAACTGAGCACTCTTCACACCGACTGTGGCTGCTAGATGCTCTAAAGCAGACGTAGAGAGGAGCTGCGGGTTTAGTCCTGGGGCACCGAAGTGCAGTAGTTGAGGACATGCAGCCGCAAACCGCGAGTACACCATCAATGGTTATTCCTGTGGTTATCGCCCGTTCTGCGACATTGTGGATATGAAGATGGGCGAGCGAAGGCAGTGATTGTCCGATCTGTAATAGATCTTCGTCGGCCAACGTGATGGGAAGACTCATGCTCAACTCCAGCGATGTCAGGGTACGGCAATGCAGTAAGGGCTCGAAGGTGCGAAGTGTGTTGGAATTCTGTGTTCGTTATCGCTCGCATCATGACGTGTCATATTTTATCTTATTATATCCGAGTTTTCGTAGTATACTGTACCTACACGACCGTAGGTTCATGGGATTTCTGCCTGACATGGAATTAAAATAAGTTCCGCCGAGACCAAAGTTCAAAAGTCCTGCGAACGCGTGATTTTGAACATGGGTCCCAGGTTGGTGACATCACCAAGACATCACTGCCGAAGACAACGAAGGTCAAGAGGGTGTTTCATTAGTAGAAGGAGAAGTTGAAGGCGACACAGACCACCTTTTACAATGTCTGTATTCTTCTTCCATTGGGCTTGTATACATGCGTATCAAGCCTTCACCACCGGTATGACTGAATCATTGAAGCCTGCCACTAGTATGAAGCTCGATATACCATCTCCGGTTAACTGTGGTCGCGGTAAGCGTTCAAAACTCTTAACATTCACATTACAAGGAATATTTGCAGAAAACGCTCACTGCACCGAACGGCTTTATTACATCCGAATATAAGAGTCTTAATTTTTTTTCGTCACGCGGTGAGGTTCATTGTCTTGTGTGACGGGTGACGAACCAGGTCTTAGGTTCATTTTACGAGTCAAGCGTGAGGCGTGACGAACCTACGGTCGTGTAGGTACAGTATATTCCTGTCGTAGATAGTCGAATTCTTCACGCGATCCTTCGGGCACCCTCCTCTTGCCCAGGACAAACGCGCTGTGCGTTGTCGCGAGCCCGTGCGACCTCGATTTTCTACAAAGTGTCACTGGGGGCCCGTGATACATATATGGCTGCACGGCGTCGAGGATGTACATGTGTAACGACTCGAGCTTGACGGTGTGGGATATTTATACCAAGGAGAGAAATTCATCGAGGTCCTGGAGCTCGGCCTCATTTGCACATTCCACGTTCAGATCAAGATGCGGTGGAAAAGAGGCGAAGCCTTGCATGAGAGTGGTAGCGTCGCTAAGATAAATCATGTGAAGGTGCAAACTCCGGAGCACTTGGAAAGGCAAAACCTCGCTGTGATCTAGGGGGAACAGTAGCTCATCTACTATGACTTTCCCACAATAGTCGAGGTGAAGCTCTGTGAGGGATGGAAGCTTCGAGATGTGAAGGAGCGCCGAGGGACGCAAGTTTCTGCAGTTGAGGTGCACCAAATGCGGCAGGCTTTCGACAACCTCGGATATGACTCACGCGTGATTGCTGTTCCATCTCATCGGCACCTTCGTCTCTGAGCAAATCAAGGTGTTGTAGGGCGGGGCATCTCTCTGGGACTAATCTGAGCAAAGAATGGGACATATCGTGCTCGGTATCCACAGTCAACCTCAAAAGAGTTGAGCTGAGGATGAGCTCATACGAGAAATCGTTGATATCAGCGTCGATCCGTAGATCTTGGAGTTTAGGAAAGGTTTGTTCCACGCTCCAGGGTACAGACAGAAGTTGCACAAAGATTAAATTATCGACCATAAACTCGCCTGTGAAGGATAGGATGCGAACTCGAGTTGTGTAGCGATGAAGCAAAGCCATGTGGCTCGATGAGAGGGGTTCCACGAGCCTGATCTGGATGGCGTTAAATACGTTAAAGGAGAGGGCCGCCACGAAGGCATGAACACTCACTGCCTGCGCCACGTCATCTTTGACCAAGAGATGTTCCGGAAGGGTGAACACGACGTTCGCGAGCGTGATCTCATATTTTGACCAAAGCACGTTGAGTGCAGACTCCTTGAACGCTTTACATGTTCTCGCTAGGGCACTCAGCGTTTCCCGTCCCTAGAACCCCTCCGAGCCGAGCAGATACCCGTCTCCTGCGTACGACTCAACGAGGTGATTGAAGATGATACGATGGATTTCGACTATGCAAAGGGAAGGATGCATATTTCAAGATATTGGACAGCACTATAAAGCCAGAGGGTAGGTGAGATAGATGCGAATGCTAGTGGATGACAAGCTAATACAGGACTCGCAGTATATAACGAAGAGTGTGGGAGCGCGGAGCCAGAAACTTTACCGTGCTGTGGCTGCGATGCGGCTCGATCATTGCACTGCACAAACGTATGTACCTGATTTTCAGGTATGCACAAGGTACGTGGCTTCTGATTCTGTTAAATCATGTGTTCTTGACATGAATTTAAAGTCAGGTACATGTACCTGGTATGTAAAATCATGTACTGTTACCCGGAATCGCAAAATCATTGTCATTTTCCGATGCTGGTTGTAGACACAAATAAAATAAAGTTACAAAGGGAGAACTTTGGGACCAGGCATATGTAGCAGTACGTGTTGTGAGTGATTGTGGCAGGTTATCGATCAGGACAAATGCTGCGCGAAGTGCGTTGAAGCGTGAGTGGACTTACCAATTTTGGGCAAAAAATTCAAACTCCGTATGTCGGAACTTTGCTCTGGGCATTAGTAAGCATGGGAATGCATTCTTATGGCCCCGAGCATTTCGAAGCATAATAATGAAAGGCTGAAACGATTATAATGCATTGATATGAGCCCCTATCTCATGGGAAAAGCTCTCCAAAAGTGTACAGGCCGCATGACGACCATCATCCGGCTGCTTTAGTCGCTACTATTGCTCGTTCTGTTTCGAGCTACTCTACTTACTTTGGTACTAATCCTATTACACTTTTTACTTACTACTGATTGAACTCGCTACTGTACTCTATTGCTTATGTTAGTACTTTTTACCGGGTACCCTGCCGATTTATTACTGATCTGCTGGCGTCGTGGATCGAACTCGGGACTTAGAGAAATTTCGCGACGAAATCATCGTTGTGCAGAGCATAGTTCACGCTAGGCTACGAAGCCTTAGATACAACAGTCTATGTACTTTTTTATATATGGTTGCTCCTCAGCACGAAAACACACTACCATTGTGTTTGAACCCCTTCCGTGCAGTACTTACATAGTAACTAATTGAGAGCTGTTGCGAAAACATAATTGCAGTTTGCAACTTTGTATCAACAACAGCAAAAACGCGTTGAGCATCTGTATGATGATGAATATTGCGCGCGTGAAAATAACTAACAGCGGGATAATAATAGTTTTGACCTCATGATATTCGCATAATAATCGCTTGGGCCGCATTATCAAGCATTCTAAGCGAGCCGAGCCCATGATCTTCGCGCTCGTGGGATAAAGATCAGGGCTGGTCCTGATAATGGCCATTCCCATAGAGTCTCGGCCATAATCATGCGCATAATTAACACGGTCCATTATAAACCCCTCGCAGCTTTTTCCGACATAGCAAGCGGCCTGCAACGCTTAGGCTGATCCAACGCAAGCGCTGTTTGCAGAAGGGGTCCATTCGGTGCCAATATTGCACCGCATGGGTACCGCATGGGGCCCGGCATTGAACGGCATCCTGACAGCTTTGAACTCCGATGTGATGCGGGCTCTCCCAGTAGGGACACCAAAATAAATCCGATGATGGGGTTCGAAACCATGACTGAGTGAAGGGAAAAAAAGGAGCGCGCCCGCTGCGCCATGCAGGCATATACCATTTTCTCGATGTTCGGCTTTATAATTACAGATTTTGGTATTGTTGGCTTTGTCAACGACTACCAGTGATCATACAAAGCCAAACTTTTGCAGCCGAAGAGAAATAATCCTTACAGCAAGTCTGATCATTTTATCTAGACCCTTTCTTGCAAGCAAAGTAGCAACAGAAGTTTTACTAGACGCAAATTTGAGTACGTTGGGACTCAAAAAACAATACCTTCCTTCTCGAGCTATGTATTGATGACCCTGGCAACAGGAATAACGAGAAAGTCGTTGTGGTCTAACGGGTTAGTGACGATCGTTTTTTGCTCCCTCTTTAACTCCTGGGTTCGATCCCCCGTGTCTGAAGATGACGGAGTTTCAAAATTCTGTGATGCAAGCATCAACGCGAGCCCAGCAACTGCCGAATGGACCCCTTCACCAAAGGGTCCTTGCGTTGGAGCAGACCTTATACCATCAGTCAATTTATCGACTATCATAAATTGCGGTATTAGGTCTGCCAAGGGAGACTATGCAACGCTCACGACGGCCTCAACGTTACGTTCAACACCCATCCAGCACTGCGTTGGCCATAGCAGAAGAGCCCAAGCCCATCAACACTTCGACCAACATCAATACCATCTCCTCAGCTGTGCCATATTCGCTCCAGCCATGCTCACTTCGCCGTTTTTCGCTCCACATGCAAGCTCAAGTCGTCTCATCCCAGGTCCTTCACCTCCCCCATCCAGTTCAAGGTTACCGGTATCATAGCACCCCGCCGCCTCCATGCTTGTGCCCAGCCTGCACGTCGTACCCCATGCCGACCGCCGTCTCTCATATCCAGCGCGTTGACGTCGAGACGTGCGAAGGAAGTCGGTCTTCTGATGCAGGTCTGTTGATGCACCACATCAAGCTCCCCCGCACGCCCGTCTGCCTCAACGCGGTTTTGCGGGACACAATTCAAGTCGATTCACTCCCCAACTTTGCAGGTGCTCTTGTCGAACACGTCTGCAAGGGCATCAAGTGCAAAGGACCTGGGTAAGTTCACATCTCTGTCTCGATCCAGCTCAGTGTGGTATGACCACGAGCAGAGGATGCTCCGTGTGGAGTACAAGAAGGTGGACAGTTGTCGGATTCTGAGTCCGCCGTTGTTGGTGCCGTTGTTTGCGGGGTCGGCTGGCGCTGATATGACGACGGCAGCGTCGTCGTCATTGTCACCGCAGATGATTGCGTGCGAGCTCCGCTGCAATCTCGACACGGGTGGCGGCGCTGGACATCACGCGGACCCGCCGCCGCAGACCGTGATGTGTCTGCGGCAGCACCGGCTGTCCGCCGGCGGCAGGGGGCTGTGGCTGAGCCTGATGCACGACACGATGCTCGCGACCAATGAGCGGCTGCAGATACCCCGAGTCGCAGGCCAAGGTATGACATGTCCTTCTCTGCGCCCTATACATTGTCACTCATATACTGTATCTTCTCAGGTCGTCTTCATTCAAGTCGCCCTGCAGACTGCCGAATCCAACGAGCTCGCCGGGGCCTTCTCCAACGTCGTCGTGCGTCTCAACTCGTAGTTCTCGATGCTCACCTCCCAGCCCATTGTCTTCCTGCACACGCAGGACCTCATGTTCTCGCAGTACCTTGCGCTGCTCACTGTCGCAGATGTGTTCCTCGTCACGTCGCTGCGTGAGGGCATGGCGCTGCGCACGCACGGGTTCATCGAGTGCCAGGAGGGGCGGCACCGGCCGCTCATTCTGAGCGAGTTCACAGGGAACTATAGTCATAGCGGGTTCAGGAGCTGTATTGCGGTGAACCTGCAGCTAGCTATCTGTTGTGTAGTGCATTAATAGAATTGATTTTGACCTGATTCTTGTATGTTCTGTCGTGTGATAAATGGTCTCTTCTTCCATGAAAACTAGTCATTCTGCATGTGGTCTCGCATTTTCGTCGACAAAATCAGGTACATTTAAGGTGATTTGGACAATTGAATCACACAAAAATGACAATGATTGATTTTCGAGCAAGTACCTGATTATCACGACGAATTCTCAGTGTTACTATGTATCTAATGAGTGATAACTATGGATTCTACACCCGAATGGTGCCCATTATAATCAGGTATATCCACCTTCACAGTGTTGAACGCTGCTAGTTTGCTGCTAGTACCAACCATAGAAGGCCGTGATGATCAAACTCATTGTCGTACATCTAATGGGTCCTCGTTATATCATACAAGGCAGCCTCGCTGCGCTACGGCACTTAAGGATCTTGTCCTACCATGTTGCTCGTTGAGAATCGCCATCCTATTGTACTGGAAAAGAAATCTCGAACACGAGGAGACACAGTGCCCGTGGATATCTGTCATGCAGTCCAGAGCCCTACATCGTATACAAATACCGAGCACTAACGCGAGATATGCCACAGCCACAAAGCCAAACATGTACAATGCCAAGCCGGGCATAATTTTGAATACTACAAGACATGCCGTGCTCCGCTACGGCACAATTGATGGGTACCGGTGAAGACGTGAAAATCAGAGCACGTACTATGAACTGTTGTCTGCTACATGTGAGAGAATCAGACAGTTTCTAGACAACTGGCACGGCACGGCCTACCACGTCACGGTGCTATGCAATCGAATCTCATTAGCTCCATGAGTTTTCCAATATTGATAGTTGTCCTCCCGTGTCTCGGCAAGTTGGTTGGACCTGTCATAAGGGAGCCTGCACTTTGAAACCTGTGTAAGGTTTCCTGAACGTTTAGATCTATCCCTTCAGATCTATTAACCTTTGTCGGCAGCACGATACTTATTTCATTGGGATATTGATGGGATTCAGGAATAGGTACCATCAACAGAGCATCTCAACCAAAGTAAATGCCGGGGTTAGACTCATTAATCTGACAGAGTACACATATACATGCATTCAACAATTTGAAGAAGTAACAGTTAACTATCTACACACATCGGGTAACAGATTATGCCTGCGTTACACTACGGCTTGCATTGTTGAGACATACAGCAATTCAACGCCAGCCGCACACCCGGAAACATATTGCTGCAAAAATTGAACAACATAACAATTAGCACTGTTGTCCGTATGACAATATGTCACTGGGAACGGGTGAAACCTTTGACAGGTGCTCAACAGTAAGAATTGGTGCCCAAAACCGATCACTGATATTGCAATATGTAGTATGATGGTGCAACATGAAGATGTGAGATAAGATAGGCGCCGAAGCGCGGGGTGCGTTCAAGCCATGGTGACAATGTAAGTATTGCAACGTCTTTGCCCCTCCGAAAGCGAACGTTCGTTACATAACGTGTGGTAGAAGTAAACGCATGGGATGATTGATTCCCAACAGACAACAACGAGCTAATGACAACCATTGTTTCCGATGTCCAGTTTAACATGACATCTACATAAGGACCTATCAAGAAACATTTTTTTCCCCTACCACACGTTGAAGCGTATCCACACACGTGGCCATCACATTTATAATGTCCTCAGAAGTGTGACTCGCCATACACTTGCCGAGTCATTCTTAGCTATACCTAGCCACCAGGGCTTCGACGTTGGAGGTTTAGCAGGGTTTAGTTCATCAAATTGACCTTCGTAGGCAGTGACTCAGTTAAATTTGAGTGAGATCGACGAAGATCAGCAATACAGCCTATGAACAAAGGAACTCTACAACTACGATACGATATACTGGAAGACATACATACCTCCGCTTCTTCGCCAGATCATTCCAATTAAATGGGCAAAGAGAAGGAAAAAGAGGTATAAGGAAATTTGAGACCGAAAGGGCTTACCGACATTACATTAACATTACTTAAGGCCCGTTTCATGGGCGGTATCTGGTTGGTATTGGGACATGCGTAGGGATCAGGTATCAAGTGATTGCGCAGAGGCATACCTGCGGGAGAGGCTGCGAAGGCGGCCGAGTGCAATGGCCACCGACCGTTTGGTATGGCGCACAGCCAAACGTGGCAGCAGGGCTTTATCCTGCGGCACGGAAGTGTTAACAATCGGGGATGTGACTTACTGGGAGGTTTCTGGCACCTGCACAGGCAATAAGGTACCCGTTACCTGTCATTGGATGCCAGGGATGCGAGTGAGGCAGGGACTTGCAATACTGTAAAGCAGCTAGTACTAAGCATAGGAGAAGACGTGAGATAATGTACACACTCGTAGCAGGAGCCATGGGAGAGGAAAGGATGGGCGCCATGATTGAGGGAGTTTCAGAGAGAGGCACGCCGAGAGACAGGGCCCGAGCTTGCTGTGGCTGAGCCTGCAATGAGCGTGTATGCACAGATGGCGAGTTTCTGTGTTAGACATTATCAACGGAGGGGGATGGTGTCGAGCGAGAGGGCGTACCTACAGATTCTGCATCTGAAGCGAGGGTGGGGCGATCACGAGCGAAGCGACTGTAGGCTCAGATATAGAAATCGCCAAGACCGTGCAGTCGTCATCTACGAGCATTACTTCGTGAGTTAATAACCTGAAAGCGATGGGTGTGGTACGCACCGAAGATCTGCACCGTGGTCCTGGTAGGGATGGAGTAAGTGAGTGTAGACATCGCAGGGATTGAGAGACGCACCGACTCTACAATTAAAAAGATCCATGGTGCGAAAACGGGGAGGGAGGGGAGGGAGGGAGGGAGGAAAGGATGGCGACGAACAAAGCGCTCAGGGTCCATTATCTTATCAACGGGAGTATGGCCCAAAATGGTTGAGGATATCCGGATCGAGAGCAAATCTGATCTCAAAGGGATCTGATCAAGGGTACAAACAAAAAACCAAACAAAAGCGGGCAGAAATATTGAAGATACGAGTAATGCCTGTGCCCCCGATGAAACAACGCGCCTGTCGTGAAACACTTTTTGTTCATCTTTGAATTTCCCGCTGCTACATCACATCAGATGCCCTAAAAACTAGATAGGGATATGTACACTTGTCTTTTTGTTTACTCAGCTCATAAGGAGCTGAGATATGTGCTAGAAAACATGCCAGAGACATGCCGATAGTGTGACTTTTTAAAGCTGCTCACTCACTGTAGATGTCTGTGACCGTCACAGATTCATCACGGATGTCACTGACAGCTTGACAGCAATCGACGTCATGCCGACGCGTGCCGAAATGCTGCATCACCCGGCGTCTCTGCTACTCGTCTTCGCCTTCACAATGCAAGGCTTCAGGATATGCAGGCAGCCGGCGCCGACAACGTCGTGCCAGCGGACGGGCCATTTCGGCGACAGCGTCGTGCCAGCGGACGTCCGCGGACGGCGCGACAACGCCGTGTCCGCGGACCGCCGGCGCGCCCATCACACACAGGATGTCAATGTGTGTCCGGCGCGCCGGCGCCGTGTTCAGCAGGGCAGCGACTGGTGTGGCGCATCGTGTCCGCGGACGGCGCCATCAACAGCGATAGACTGCAATGGGGGTAGTGAAATAGACAAGACAATGGTGCAGTTGGTCATTTGTGTCCGCGGATGGCAAACGCCGGATATCGGATGATGTCACAATCATCGGCGCATGCATGTAAAGCACTGATCGAGTCCGCGGACGATAAGTCAATGATATAGTGCCGGTGTCCGGCGCATGCGAGAGGTAGGGTGTCGTGTGCGCGGACGCGGTGATAAGGCGCTCGCCGGCGCAAAGAACACTGGGACAAACGGGATGCAACGCACTTCCGATGAACAGCGTAGGGGAATCACGGCGCCGAAATATTGGCTAGGGGAGTCACATGATATGCGCCGAAGAGGCGTGCACCACGTGTATTGTGCGAGAATCCAGCAGATGACGTTACGGCGCTCGGGATTCATGCACACCAGTTGGGTGCCGGCGGTATGCTGGGGTGCTCTTGGCATCCTCCGGCGCACATCACGTGATAAATGCCGAGCAGACATCATGTTAGATCTTCCTCACGGCGCATGATTATTACCGGTTGGATCGGTCACGTGGTTGGCGCCGAATGCACTCGCCTGTTGCCAGGTGTATCTCATTTATGCGCCGATGGGGGACGTGCCTATCGCCAATGATGAGCGCCGGTCACGGATAAGTTAAATGGTTCTCGGCGGCAACAGGTGATTCAAAGCGGATGCTATGCCCAAGCTGGTGTCGTGCAGGGTTGTGCCGTGCGCCGCTGGCGCTGAAAGCTTTCAAATTGTCCACGGCGTGCAAACCCTATGAATGACACTTCCAGCGCCGGAGGGCTGTGCTGGGTGCGGTTAGCATCTTCCGGCCCAAATCACGTAATAGATGCCGGCCAGACATCGTAGCAACTCTTGACCTCGGCGAATGATATTTGCTGGATGGAATCATCACGTGGTTAGCATATACACAGGGCGATTGAACGGCGAGGCATTCATACGTATTCAGCACTCGGCGGCGCATAGATGCACCAAACAGGACGTAGCGCACTTCCGATGAACAGCGTAGGAGAAATAAACGATCGGGTGGCAGCAGTCACATGATGTGCGCCGCAGCGTTATAAGAGGCGGCGCCTGTTACATATACGCACCAGGGTAGATTTTAGGAACTAAACTTGAAGCAAATTTGAATGTATATCCCAGTTTATCAGAGGATACATACACAGGATGAACCGGTACGCAATGCATTGAGATAAGGTACAGTCCAAGAAATTCGAACACAAAAGTGAAACGTGGACTGCGGTTGCGCGGCGATTTATGAGATTTAGATAAGCTCAGCAGCATTTGCCGGCATTTCATGCTGACATTATTGGAGGGGCCACATGTATTGTGCCGGGACCATCAGATGGTGTGGTGGTGTGACGGCGCTCTCGATTCATGCACTTCGGCAATGCATGTGATTGGATCCAAGCAAGCAATACGTGTCGCGCCGTAGACACCAGGTGTGTGCTGCCGGCATGCTAAGGGACTATCGGCGTCTTCCTGCTACGATCACGTGCACACTTCCGCGAGGAGACTGTGGTAGTTCTTTGTCTCGGCGCACGATTATTACTGGCTTGAGCTGTTACGTGACCCGCGCCGAGATCTTTCACCGGTGAGCCGATGAATATCGTTCGTGCGCCGATGAGGGGCACACCGATCACCGCCGTCTAGTAGGTAGCTTTATTCAGTGTCGGCGCCGACCGTGTGATGTCAATCAGGCCCAGTGACCTGCGCCGAACACAGTCATAGTTCAGCTACATTAAATCAATCTCGGCGTAGTCCACGATCCCCAAGCTATGTCTATGAACTACTGTTGAATCGATGTAACGACAAAAGGGCATTTGGAGTGTGTGGCATGCAGGTACTTGCATTGTAGATTTGAGCTATAAATTGTCGCAGTACAAGATGGTAGTACTTAGATTGTTGTAGCCCGAAGGGCTAGTAGAATACGATAGTACGCAATTGCAATCCTCCACTGCTCCGACGTCGTGTCCCGCACACCATCGTAACTGCCGAGCCTTTCAGAAGGCGGCAGGAAGCTACTCAATGTTGCTGTGATGGCGGCCGTGGATCCGCGATAGTTGCCAATGACTTCTTCGAGGACGGCATTTGCAGAAGCCAATGGGACATCAGGGTTGCTAGGCCGACCGTTCTGAATGAGGGAGTGCAAGAAGTGGTCCATCAGCCTGGTGAGGCCGTCACTGTCTGGCAGCTCCAACAAACGGGTGAACGCCGTGCGCCGCCATTCCCTCGCTGTCAAACCAGCTGGGGTTGCATCGGCGTTGCCGATTGTTGCGAAGACGTTTGGCCCATTATCGCTTGGGATCATGCGAGAAGCCCCTTCTACAAAGTCTGTTCATCGCCGGGGTAGGTTTCAGTCCTCGGCGCGCCCAGTGTCGATATGTGCTTACCATGGATGCGCCGCTCCTCCTCGGTTTGCCCGGCGCTTGGTGTAGACTGAAAGTCAGTCGATGCCTGGCGCTCTGCGGCGACGCTTTGGGTGGTACGGTCTAGCTCTGCGGCGCGTTAGCATGCGCCGGCGATGGGAGAGCAGATAACTGACCCGAAAACGAGGGCGTGGCATCACCGCATGCCGCTGCCTCCGGGATGTCTGCTGCGTAGCTGTCATCACTTGCGCAATCCATAGCTGCATTGGCGTAGGCTTCTACTATGCGCGTGGTGAGATGAGTCACCTGGGCACCACGGGAGAAACTGAAGAAGACTTACATTCTTCAAGGCTGAGTATGTCGTTTTCCATCTCTGGATCGGTAGGATCGCTGTCCCCTTGCGGCACGTACGCTTCGAGCGCAGATGGCGAAAAGGACTCCTCCTCCTCGCCGGAGTTACCGTCACCAGGGCGCTCTTGGGAGTCGCCCGCCGCTGCATCGTGCTCGGCGGGCAGAGCCACATCACCTACATGATTGAATAAGTAATGCTTAACCTTCATCAAGGCCGGCGCACTGATGGGGACGGCCACCCTGCCACGCCCCCGACGTCCTGAGGGCTGTCTAGCGCCGCGCCCACGGCCACGGCCACGGCGGGGGCCTGTGATCGCAGATGTGGGCCTGCCATTGAGAAAAGACAAGTTATCTTACCATCGCTCGTGCTCATTGACTCGTTGTTCTTGTGACGGGGTGCCATTGCAGGTGATGGTGGTGTTGTGACGGATCCCAGAGTGAAAATGATATTGATCAGGGTTTATCGATGCGGCGGCGCTCAATATATCTGAAGCTCAGCCACCTTGCACATGACGATAGAACTCCATGGAACTTTCTGCAACAGCCACACACGTTCCCCAGCCGGACCCAAATTTAATTGCGCTCGACAGCGAGCTCCTGTCACTAGCCCTCAACCCCATCCCACGATGTCTGCGACCTCCAGGACACAAGCCACCCCCTCCAACGCCGCCCCCTCCGCCGCAGTGCCCGCAATGATGGAGCAACTTCCATCGTGGTGGCCCACGCGCTCGATGGACAAGAACAACGATGACCAGAGGCAGAACTTCCTGGACATCGTCGAGCTCCGCATCCTCGAGATTTATGATCATCTCAACGTGCCAGAGTCAGACCGTCGTCGATTTGAGCACAACTGGAAGGTTGAATGGGTACGTATTTACAACGTTCTGAGTGGGCGCACTGAACTCTGTGCAGGGTAACTTAAACCCGATACTCTGCCGACTATTCCATCAGATCAGCAAAAACGGTGCTAAGGGGAACTTGCGTTACCATACCATGGGGATGATGATCAGGAACAACAGCATCCCCCTCTTCCACCCGGACTTCAAGAAGATGAAACACGGTAGAGGCAAGTACCGCCCACCTCAGGTGCATCTCGACATTGGAGACAGGTGGTGGGTGACAGGCACGACTCTGGTGAGCCGCGCCTTGTTCAGATCGCAGAGGCGTTCTCAATCCAGCGCAGAAAGACCCCATCCCTCCCCAGCCGAAGACAAAGACTTCGGGGAATCAGTCGAAGAGTACGCCATCAGCGTCATCTTCTCCACCGAAGCCGGCGCCGACTGCTGGTTCCCATCCGGCGCCTACTGCCCCTAAGAATCCGCCAACATCTGCTGCGCCGGCGCGGGCCGGCGCAACAACAGCCCCTCCGCCGTCAGTTCCTCCCTTGCACGCGCCGGCATCTACACTGAAGGAGCCAGTGGCCCCCATCCCCGGTCAATCCCCAGCTGCCCCCCTGACGTCGCCTGTTGAGCCTCTCAACGCCAACGCCTCAGAGGAGGAGGAGGACACCGAGGCTCAGTCTCCAACGCCCGCGCACACCAGGAGGCTGATCCTGAGGCCACCCAGAATCCCCGACACTCCCCCAGAAGACGACGGGAGACCTGTAGGCAGCGCGCGCGCACCGGCGCTGGCAGCTCCTCAACAGAGCTCTGCTGGCCCCAGCCAGGCGCCGGCGCCCACGAGCATCGGCGCTGCTACTGACACTGGCGCCAACAAGGTACGTGGTGCATTGGCATCATGCGCCGGTGCTAATTTTTGTGTGGCAGGCGGCGCCAACCAGCTCGGTCAAAGCACTCCAAGATGGTATTCCGGCGTTTGATCAGTACCAAGTCCCACATCGCTCATTGCCCCCGATAGATTGGAAACAAAACGGAGTTTCGGCGTTCAACGTCAGCATTCCAACGAGCGATCACGAAGCTTTCGACATGTACGTTCAGAAGGTAACTGACCACCTCGGGAGAATCCATGATGCCCTCGTCAGGCGCGAGGTGCTGCTCAATAACACCCTTGTTGATCTCGACGACGCCATGGGCCTGATGCGCGACGAGTTGGGGCAGTTCAAGAACGAGATGAAGGCGCAGTTTGCGGAGATCAAGGCAAAGGGGCCCGAAGGTGAGTGATGGGCGCCGGCGCCGGCTTTTGCTCTCGAAACCAGCTGACAACGCCAATGGAACGCAGAGGAATCCCGTATGGCTGTAGACCCGGCGCTGTGAACCCTTTACGTACTTGCATGTATTGTCGATTTCTACGCATTTTATGTTACCTTCTTTGACTTTGTAACACTACCGCAATGACAATGTTTGAATGCCAGCAGATGCACTCGCCCACCCCATCACACCTCTCCTGTTTTATAGTCCTTGTCATTTGCACGTCGCTCATTATTTTCCCTCTCCTTTTCCAGCGCTTTTTCTCAGCCCTTTCGTCTTAGTTCTGTCGTCCAGTCTCATTCATCCTCTGGATTCATCATGGCAGCGGTAATGCGTCCGTTCATCACACAGCACACCCATTCCATGCAGCGCGTAACATCTCAGCATCACAGTCATTAAATAGGATCTACCTTCCCCTCTTCCGGCGAGGTCAAGCATTCAGCTCTGTCCGTTTCTGAGGGTGGATTGAGTGATTTCTCGGTGAGAACCTGCTCGACAAAACACGACTTGCAATTCGGCGTAAGTCTCCGGCGATGTCCGTATATCACAACTCGTATCAGGGGTCGTGCGGCGCTTCCCATCTCGGTATCCCAGACATGAGATATGGTGTACCTCGCCGTCTTCCGGCGAGGTCAAGCATTCAGCTCCGTCCGTTTCCAAGGGTGGATTGAGTGATTTCTCGGTGAGAACCTGCTTGACAAAACACGACTTGCAATTTGGCATAAGTCTCCGGCCATGCCTGTATATCAGAACTCGTATCAAGGGTCGCATACGTCCCGTCTCCTTCATCCTCTGGATTCATCATGGCAGCTGTAATGGGCCCCTCCATCGCTCGGCAGCCCTCCCCATTCCGCGCCGGGCACAATGTCTCATTCTCCTATTCGAGCCAAGGGTTCCATCCGCCCCCATCGGTATGTTCATGCCTGATTCCTTGGTTCCCAGAATTTCCCTACCACTCCGATCTAGGCCCTGACGGGGTTTTTCTGATGTGCGTTGATCTGAGGACGCCTCGTGGTCCCTTGTGTTTTCAGACTTTCCTTCTTTGCCCACACCACGCCGCTCCCGTTTTATAGACTTTGTCATTTGCTCGTCGCTCACTATTTTCCCCCTTCTTTTCTAGCGCTTTTCGCATCCTTTTTGTTTGACTTCTCTCATCCCCTCCCCTCGTCGTCTCTGGTATCATCATGGCTGCTGTAATGGGCCCCTCCATCGCACAGCACCCCTCCCCCTTCTGCGCCGCGCACAACATCTCCGTCTCCCAGTCGAGGCAAGGGTTCCATCCGCCCCCATCGGTACGTCCTCATGTAGCTCCTTGGTCGCCGGCTTTCCTCATAGTTCCGTTCTAGGCCCCGCCCAAATCGGCGTCGACACAGCCTTCAACAGCCCGCGACCCCTTCTATGGGCACGAGAACGCGGCGCGCCTCTGTGCGCGGTTCATCACCCACCTCTTCGCTTGCCCCGAGTACCCTCCCTCGTCGTCGGGCTCTACTGTGAAGCTACCGTACTTCATCGCCTACGCCCTCCACCGGACGAAACTCCACGCATCGGTTACCTTTGCCGCCCTCGTCCTCCTCCAGCGTCTCAAGGCCTGTTTTCCCACTGCTCGCAGCTCATCTGGCCACCGTCTTTTCGTATCCGCATTCATGATCGCCTCCAAAGTGATCTGCGACGACACTTACGCCAATAAGTCCTGGAGCATTGTCGCCCAGAGCATGTTCTGTGGAAGGAGATCAACAGGATGGAAAGGAAAACGTGCGAACACAGTGAATTGTCCTATGTTCATTGTGCCGGTGAGGTATATGCACAGCTACAATGTCGGAGCATCTATGTGAATGTAATATCATTCTTGGATTTAATTTCCACGGCGCCCTTGGTTACTCTTCTATTACTCTACCTCTTCCTTGCTGGATCGTAATAAGGCAAGTTTACCTCCTTTGATCCTTCTATGTAGGATTTCAGCCGGTCGGTCGGCGCCGTCCTTCGCTTGCTAAAACGCTGAGCCTGGTGGAAACTCGTCAAACATACACCGCGTAGGATGAACGAAATCAATGGACCTGCTCAGCTGTTTGTTCCTCGGACGCAGCTTCTTGAATGGGTTCTCTGTTGTGGATTGACCTCGGTTTCTGTGGATGCCCAATACTAAGCACGGGCCATATACAGGGTGGCCGCCATACCTTGGTTGACACAGGTTTCGTCGCCGAACTTGCCCGCCGTCTGCGTTTACTATCAGGCTTCGCTGGCTTTGGACTTGCAAGCGGTGGGGGAACACTGATCTCAAGTGATGTATCATCGATCAAAGTGTCCAGTACTTCGTTCTCGCTATCGTCGCTGGGGTCGCTGGCCTCACTCCTGCAGTCGCCTTCTGGCGCTGCGAAGTTAGGTGGAGGCGCGATACAAGCATGCTCGTGAGGCGATGCCGCCGTGGCCGATGCCCTGGCGCCCGGGACTTGCGTGAGACTTCGTTTTTCAACAGGACCGCCTGTGGAGAGCAACACGCCGTTGTGTGTTCTGCTGTCATGAGAGCTGGGCGTGTCCACCTCCTGCTGAGATGCATTGGAGATGTGTCCACCCGGCGCGCCGGCGCCGGCGACCTGCAGGAGAGTGCTCGCATGCATTGGAATCGTTGCTGTAAGCGCCGGGTCCGGCGCTTCAGTTCCCGAAGCGTCGTCGATGGTGGGATTAGTGAGCTGGATGGACATGTTGCCACTCGGGCTCTCAAGTCCATCCGCAGATGGAACATAGTTTTCATAATCCATTGGATCAAAGCTGAAGTCGTAGGGAGCATCCTCAGGTGGATATGGTGAGTCCAAGGGGATGCAATCATGGCGATCGAAAGGTCCTGCGCCAGGGTTATCTTCTTCGGGTTGCGCCGAAATGAGATCTCCGAGTGCCAAAGCGGAATTATCTTCATCGGCGGCGACATTCCGGGGCAGCTCCTGTGGGTTGTTTGTCTATGGGGTATCATGTTGTATGCAAGCGCCGGATGAAGATATAGTGGAGGACTCACAGCAGAATGTTCTGGTGACAATGTTTTTGGATACTCTGTCTCATCTTTGGACGACTGGGCAGGGACGTATTCTTCAAGTTCGGCAGTATCAAAGAAGAAGTTGTGATCATCATCCTTGGTGCTGATAATGGAGGGTGGAACGTGGTTATTGCCGTCATTGAGGTAATCAAATTGGCTGTCAGTAAGCTCTGAGTTCTGTTCTGGTGTAATTGCCTCGGCGCCGGATTCGCTCCCTGCTTGGACAGTAGCAGCCGAGGGAATCGTCTTCTGTCTGGGCCTCGGCCTTTGTGGCTACATGAGTTATGAGTATTCCGACCATTCTATTGGACCCAGATCAGCTTACCATGGGTTGTGGTGAGCGAGTGCCGTCTGGCGATCGGTGCTGCTGTGAGAGTTGTCACTTGACGCTGCACTATGAACGCCGAAGGGTGCGTACCTGATTTGCGCCGGCAGGGATTGTGCGAATGTGAGCTGGTGCCGGCGCTGCTACAACCGGCGGCAGGTTAGCTTCGGATGCTCCTGTATGCGTAATTGTGATGCCGGCGCGTGAATGTCCCAGCAGCGCGTCTGCGCTCAGCCCAACATCGCCTTCATCCGAGCTGTCATCATCATCATCTGGCAAAATGGGAGTTTCAGGAGTTGCAACTGCATATGGATCCAACCGCAGTGAATGACGGAACCGAAGGGGGACCTTGTTGTCAGATTCTCTCTCCCGCCAATGTGCGAACAATGCAAGTATTTCTCCCTCCTTGACGTCGCTCGGCTCCCTGACGCCAAACATGCCAAAAGGAAAGTACTTGCTGTTTCCGAAGTAGTGCCTGGGATACTTCTCCATGTTGCCCCAAGGGAGAACACCCTTCACACGCACAGTATCGTGCCGCCAGACTCGTGTGATGTATCCTCGAAGAAGACGTTGTAACGTTTTAGTTTTTTCCTTCTTCGGCGGGTTTGGCACAATGGGAAATCCGTCGTCCCTTGTAGCAATGAGAGAACAAGCGTCGCGCGATTTTGGCACCGTGGCCTGCGCCGCATCCGCTAATCCTTCCGGCGCCGACTCGCCTGGGAGAGGACCGCCTACCCACGAGTTAATGTTGATACGCCGAACAAATAATGTAACACAAACCATTGACATACAGACGCCAAGTTTTCCAGAAGGGCATTTCGCGAACCCGCTGCGTTAGCATAGGCTCAAATGGTGGGTCACAGGCGCGGATGGTGTCCGAACTTGCAAAACATCAGAGGGAATCCATGAAGTATGTTGCTGAAACTTACTGGCCGAGCTGAATCTCTCCCTTCAAGTTCTTCCTGCCGAACAAGAAAAACACCCGGACGCCGTGGGCGACCGCCGACCACTCAGCAAACTCAGCTGCTCCCTTCAGCCACTTGGGAAATTCGCTGCAGCTAATGGTTAGCCTTCGGCGTACCCCTGGATGGAATAAGTTACCGCTCTTGTATTTCTGCAGGCGGGCCCTCTTCATTCCATTTGGCTGCCTTTCTTGTAAATGCGTCCTTCGTCGTCTGATCGAGTTTGTTTTTGCAGTATTCTATCCGCGCCCGGCTGAATAACCCCATGTACTTGCCTCTCCACACTGGCGGCATTGGGATTTCGGGATGTTCCAGAGCCCATGTCGACACAACCAGAGACATGATTTGCGCCTGGTGCTCAATCTCGGCAATACGTACCATAGTCCACTTCTTGCCAGACCTAAACTTCCACTTAACCTCGTCGCCGGGTGGAGTTGCCTCCCTGTTATCGCGGCCAAACCACTCGCGAACCCTCTGCTCAATATTAGCATCTATGCGTTACAGCACTGCCTAAACGCACCTCTGCCATTTCATTCAGACCCTCCCCATTACAGACGCCCTCTTCATTGAGTAGTTCTCTAGCCGTACTCTCAATGATGTTTGCCTGGTCGTCGGGATCATCTTCACTGCTTGCATTCCAGTTGGAGAGGCAGCGATTAAGAATTAAATGACACCTTGGGGAGAACCCATCGAGATCAGTGTTGTCAGCCATGGCTGAATGGGAGAGAACAAAAGAACAAAAAGAAAGAAAGAAAGAAAAAAAAACACGCGTTGATGGCAACCACCATTGAGGTGTAGCTGACCCTGACTGCATGGTCAGGGTCTGGTCAACCACGGCTGAGACCCCTATCTGATCCTACATTGGAAGCTTTGAATATCCACGCCGGCTTCAACCTCGGCGTGGCATCCGGGTATATGTCGAACCATTGGCATGTGTGTCGGCGTATGTGAGCACGGCTCTGGAAGACGCCGGATGCACAGCAGCAAGGGTGCTTCCATTGACTTCTACCACAGGTAGGGTGATGCATGTCCTGGCGCACACCGCCGAGTTCTGTGGCCTGTTGTATGGTTGCACTGGTTTAGCTCACCTACCTGGATGTCTGAATCCAGTGTTGATACGAGTTCTGACACATGGACGTTGTGAGGAAGACATAGGTGGTGTGCTCCTTGATAAGTGTCAAGGCTAAGGTAGAAACTAAACATCACACATTGATTATCCACTCCTTTCATCTGTTTGTCACAATGTCTGTCTATCAGAACTCGTATCAGAGGAGGCACAAGGAGGTGTTGATTATGGAACAATGGATGCCTCCTTTAAGATATGAGTTCTGATAAACAGACATTGTGCCAAACAATATTGTACCAAAGTCAATGCAATGATGCTGGGCGATAATCTAGATGTGGTGCTTAGTGTCAACCTTTTCCTTGAAACCTATCAAGGAGCACACCATAAATGTCTTCCTCACAATCTCCGTTCATCAGAACACACGTCAAAGTAGGCATAAGGAAGCGTTGATTATGGAACAGTGCATCTCTCCCATGATATGAATTTCGACAATGCAATGCCAGTCAACGTTGCTGAGCTTATCTAAATCCAATAATTGCCTTGCAACTACAGTCCACGTTTCAGTTTTCTTGTCGAATTTCTTGTACTGTACCTTATCTCAATGCATTGCCTAGTGGTTCATCCTTGGTGTGTATCCTGCAATAAAGTGGGTGATGCAGAGGTTGTGAGGAATTCATTTGTGGTATGCTCCTTGTTTCAAGGGAAATATTGAAACTAAACATCACATCTTGATTATCGGCCAGAACTATTGCATTGACTTTGGTACAATATCCATTTATCAGAATTCATATCAAAGGAGGTATAAGGAGGCGTTGGTTATGGAACAGTGCATGCTTCCTTGATATAAGCTCTGATAAATGGATCAACAGATGCTGTGCCAAAGAGGTGAGTGCAGTAGTCCCAGTTGAAGATCAACACATCTTGTTCACTTTCAACCTTTCCTTTGAAATCATTAAGGAACACCCTGAGCCGTAGTGCCTACAAAGTCCATGTATCCGAACTCATATCAAAGGAATGGGCATTGAAATAACAAGACTTTATGTGGGCTGATTGATGGACATGATACAAAGAGTGTGCGCCAATCCAATACAAACTTGCCTTATATGTGATTCCTTGGCCGTATATGTGTCATCAAATTTACCATTGCCTTGGGTTCCATTGTCGGGGGCGGCAGCCGACGAAGCCTATCGAAGGTTTCACAAGGCACATGAATGCGGGGAAATTATGTTTGTATTAAGATGCATCGGCAGGAGAAAAGGTTTCCCAAATCGGTCATGTGTGATGGACGCATGCATTAGCGCCGGTTGGGCCAATGCTGCAATGGCAGAATTGTGAAGCCCGGGCAAAGGGCAAATACATGTAGTAGCACGTTTTGGGTCACAGCATGCGTTGCTGGTATTCACCACATTGCTGTTCCTCCTGCTTCCCACCATGGAGTCTGATTCTCGCCCAAACAAACGAGCCAGAGTGTTTGAACCTGATCCCGCCGATCCTGGACAAGTTGAAAATGTCGTGTACATGAAGCCGGTCAAAAAACGAGGTAAATCTACCCTCAAGCCCAAGGTGCAAAAAGAGGCCACCACATCACAACATACGCCGGCGACACAACGTTCCCCACCCCCACCGCTCAGCCTTCAGCCACAACCAACAGTCCCATCACCATTCTTCTCTGACGCCGCCGCCAACTTCGATGATGACAGCACACCCAAAAGTGTGCCAAGGAAAGAGAAATGGGCAAGTTTAAGCACTCACGTGCATATTCAACCATTCTGACTTGCATACTAGAACCAAGATAGGTTCATGCGAGACTGGATTCCCCATGAACACAAGTACTTGCAAGAAATTATTACTCTCGACGGCGCCCAAAAAGCAGCAACATGTAGCCGATGCGGCACAGGGGCGGTCACCTGGAGGTGTCTGTCCTGTCTGGGGGTCCCCGAAGGTTGCAAAGCATGCATCTCCCAAACCCACTCCCGACTACCATTCCATGAACTCGAGGAGTGGCGGGAGGATCACTGGTCTTCGTCGGCTGCCAAGGATTTAGGTATTGTCCTCTTTATGGGGCATAATGGTCTGAAATGCCCTTGCGCCGGGGTCAGCGGCGTCAGCGGCGTCTTTGAGGCCAAAGATGGGGACCAGGGGTTGGATGCAGGCAATGGCGATGGCGGCGCCGATGACAAACAGCGCGCCGAAGCTGACCGCAAGCGGCCCAAAACAGTGTGGCTGACTGTGGTCGACATTTCCGGCGTCCATCGATTACCGGCGCTGTGGTGCACTTGCCCTGACTCGCCGCCGAGGGACTTGCAACTCCTGCGAATGCGTCTCTACCCCGCCTCTACACAGCAGCCCCGGACGGCGTTCACATTTGCTGCGCTGCACGACTTCATGATCTCAAACCTCGAAATGAAGGTTCCCGCCAACGCTTACTTTCGGAAGCTGCGCTATGTCACCAATGAGATGATGCCTGATGATGTTCCTGTACGTCCGCCTGCGCCGGCTCTATTTGCGCCTGACCGTTGTTTGTAGGATCGTTACAGGGAGTTGGCCCGTTGTTATAGGCAATGGATCCGCTTGCGAACCCGCCAAGCCCACGGACATGGATACAACCAGCCAGCAGAAGAGCAGGCGGTAGGCTCCATGGCCCATTTCTGCGTTGCCTGTCCCCAGCCTGGTAGAAACTTGGCGCCTGACTGGAAGACCTCTGGGTATGTTCAAAGATTCACTGTCGTTATACGCCGCTGACATTTGTTTGTAGGCCGGCGTGGTTATATTATAGGCAACTAGTGATTGACGGAAACTTCAAACAAGTAAATGTTCCCATGCGAAACCAGGAAAATGATGTCCAGCTTGCAGATGGAATGAGCTACACTGTGAATCAGGTGCAATATGAAGCACATCTAGCAAGTACCACAGACAAACCAATGGTGAGTGCCTTAACCTCAATGCCGAGTGGAACCTGACGCCGGCGCTAGCGATCCAGCTGCAATGACCATCGGGCTGTGTCATTGTCCAACCGGCGCAAGAAGAACTTGCGAGTCACAGGTCTGGTCGCCGTGGCATGTGCTCGTCATGGCTGTTTTCTGCCGAATACTGTTGTTGATTTGAAGCTTGGCGAAAAGTGAGTACCACATTCATTGGTCACCGGCGCATCCTGAAATCAAATTTGCAGACAGTCCGTGGTGGACTTTGCCATTTCCATGGCAGGCATGTCGGACGAAGAGTTGCTTGGATTCATTTTCATATATGACATCATTTGCCAGTACTTCATCCACTTTCGTCGGCGCTTTGGACATTACCCGCACATCGCATTTCCCGAACATGTGGATGTTGTACCCGCCATTGGTTTATTTCATGTCCATGGCCACAAGGATGAATGTGTTGCAAGATACTCGCCCAACTACATCAGAGGCATGGGGAACATCGACGGCGAAGTCTTGGAAACTCTATGGGCAGTTTTGAATGCTATTGCAAATAGCTTTCGCAACATGTCGGCATCTGGAAGAAAGGATCTGATGAATGCCCAAATGCGATGGTCTAACTTGCGAAAGATGTTAACATGTGGTAGGCAGTCCTTTGATTGGTCAGGCATATGTTGACATGTCAATCTAGTGGAGTTGACTATCAAGCGGTGGCACACGGCCTTGAAGCATTTCGCGTCGGCGCAGAGAGAATTTGCGAAGTTTAGAAACGTCTGCCAACCCAAGGATGTGGCTGAGTGGTCCAAGAAAATCGAGGCTGCCTACATGATCCGCGACGGTTCTAAAGAAAAAGACAAGATTTTCAATGTGAAGGTTGGCAAGCTTGCAGGTAGACTGGCAATCAGTGAGACCCTCCAGCCACCAGCAAGACGCAGTGAAAGTGCTCGTGGCGTTATAGCCTGGCTACTGTTAGGCATCGACATTGAGGAACTTCAGTGAGTCATGTAGTGAATGGCCTTCCCACTAAACTCACGGCGCCGGGAACAGGATCCGCATACTTGCTCTTGTTCGCGTTGCTGGGAAGCGCAGCCGGCGCAGCGATACTACAACTCTCGAGCGCGAACGCCGGCACCTCAACGAACTCATGGCCGACTTTGAGCGTGATGCTCCACTATACATGAACGCCTTGCTCATCACCAACCCGAAGCATGTAGTATTGACTCAAATCTTCGAGGGCGACCATGAGGACCTCGTACCAGAGGAGGGACCCCATGACACTTGCCCCACAAATTCAGCCCCTGGTGTCGACAGCGAGGAAGACAGTGAATATGAGGAAGAGTCAGACGCCGACACCGAGGATGCTGCAGAGGATGGACAGGATGTTGGCTCAGATGGGGACGACGCCGGCGATGCCTGCGCCGATGACATTGCGCCGGCGCCATCCGGCGCCAGGGAGGCAGGCCATGCGCCAAGCGGCGCCGCCAACCTCCGGCGCAAACGCGCATCAAGCACTCAGCCTGAGCGCCGCACGATTGGGCTGCCTTCGGCATTTGGACGCGCTGTGTGCGTCGAGCAAGGTTTGGTAGATTTGGTTCACCAAGAGCTTGAACTTCGCAAAGGGCAGGCTCACGACGCCATTGGCAACGTCCGTAATCACATTGGACGCAAGTCTGTTCTGTACAAGGAAGCAGTCCGTCCTGCCAAGCATAGCCAACAGGCAAGTGCTGCTGCCCGCCGCCTCGTCGACTTGCAAACCGCGCAGGTCAACATCCATCGCTTATACTACAGCCGAGCAAGAGATGCTATGCTTGCATTGGCTGATAACCCCGATGTTGTGAAGGAGTATGAGGTTATGACAGCTGATGACCTACAGTCTAGTACTGCGGAGTTGAACCCTGCAGCACGTGGGCTACGGCACAAAGGACTCTCGTGGTTTTGGTACCTCGACATCAAGAAAGCAGTGGGTAGCGATGACGGCCCTCGCCTGATGAAAGAATGTGGGTGACATCGTCGGCGAGTCAATATGAAGCTGACGCACCTCACAGTCGCTCGATTGGAATGGACTCACGCCAGGTGCCGATTAGACCGCGCCGAGGAGGAGCTGATTTTCCTCAGACATGAGATGAGCTGGATTCCAGCGGGGTTCGAAGCCGAGGCAGCCAAATGGCGGCGGCGTCAGACCTGCATCACTGAGAATGTGTACGTGGGGCACGCCGAGTATGCGCGGCGCCAGGTTGAGATATGGGAGAAGCTGTCGGCGCGCGCACAGGCTGAATTTGGAAAAGAGTTGGTCAAGTCACCACCACCAGATATCAATCTCGGCCTTGATGTTGAAGGCAACATAACTTGGGATCAACACACTGGCTTGGGTGTCACTGGTACCAAACTTCTATAGTTAATGTATTAGAAACAGGGAATACGCAAAGGATGAACTAGTGCACAGCGCATGAGATAAGGCATAGGGCAAGAAATTCGACGAGAAAACTGAAACGTGGACCGCGGTTGCAAGGCGATTGTTAGATGTAGATACGCTCAGCAGTGTTGGCCGGCATTTCATCCTGACAGTATTGGCGGCGCCGGTCCCAGACCTAGGCTGCGTTTGCAAAAGAGTTTGCCACATCCCCACCACCAGATATCAAGCTCGGCATTGATGTTCATTCCAATGTTGGGTGGGATCAACAAATTGGCTTGGGTGTCACTGAGACCAAACTTCAATACCCACTTTATCACAGGATGCACACCAAGATGAACCAGTAAGCAATGCATTGAGATAAGGTACAGTGCAAGAAATTCGACAAGAAAACTGAAATGTGGACTGTGGCCGCAAGGCGATTATTAGATTTAGATAAGCTCAGCAGCGTTGACCGGCATTTCATCCTGACAGTATTGGCGGCGCCGGTCCCAGACCTAGGCTGATATCAAGCGCGGCATTGATGTTCATTCCAATGTTGGGTGGGATCAACAAACTGGCTTGGGTGTCACTGAGACCAAACTTCAATACCCACTTCATCACAGGATACACACCAAGATGAACCAGTACGCAATGCATTGAGATAAGGTACAGTGCAAGAAATTTGACAAGAAAACTGAAATGTGGACTGTGGCCGCAAGGCGATTATTAGATTTAGATAAGCTCAGCAGCGTGCGTCATGACAGCATCGGCGCCGGTCCATACAGCAGGGAAGATGTAGAACTAGGGTTAATTTGTGTTTACAAACAAACACCCCACTGAGCATGCTCTGTGTGAACATACTCATGTAGGTTCTTTCGCATATAATGCGCCAAGCAAACACGTTCACCGTCGGGATGAGGTACTCCATGACGGAGTACATTGCCAGCAAATGCAACGACTGTTCCTGGGCGATAGTCGAGGTCAATCCCCAGCGCCGGGAATGAAAGTAGTCCTCGTGAATACTGCCCATAGGTACCAAGTACATCGTACCATTGAAAGCAACCACCGCCATCACGATGATATAACGTCTCGCGATTCGAGATGACTGTCATGGCATTGAACGCCGAGGCCCAGCTGTCAACAAATGGTTTCAGGATTGTCCTGCGGCGCAGCCGGCGCATGCATCGCAATCCTTGCTGATATTGGTGGGGATGAATTATTGCCAGTACAGCTGAGGGGATGGCCATTGGGTGCGCCGACGCTGACACCCACTCGTGTAACATCGCTTGTGATGACCCGGCGCGAAGGTTTAGTGAAGCTTTCGGCGGCCCATTGAAACCCTGCACAAATGGTTGATAAGTAGAAATGGTAGCATAAACCCTTCACCTACATTGTGACCTTGTGCAAACCATCCGGGCGATACGTTGATGCAACCAGGAGCCGCCCGAAGGCTGCGGGTATCCTCCTTGAAGAGGTACCTTGAGCACCGCCAATCATCGAGACTGCTCTGGACGACGCTGTTCCTGAGCGCCGGCGCAATCAGCGCTAAATCCCGGAACACAGCATTCTGCGTTTCTATCGGCACTGTGTCTGGCAGATACCACATGATGGGTTCGCCGGCGCCGGTGACAAGGTGGAAGGGTCGGCGCGCGAATAGGCGCCCTGTGTCTGGATCCGGGGTCAAGTCGGTAAATGGCCCTCGGTGGGAGTGAAATGACAGCGCCGGTAGTACGTCCTCGAGGTCATGTTCGTCATCGAGATTCCGTCCACGGTCCTGAATGTTGAAGTACTCGAGGTGACGTGCAACAGAGTCATGGACTCTCACTTGTTTTTTTTTGTTTGTCAGTAAGACACTTGAGAACGACCAGCGAACTATACCTTTGTTTTCTTTGGCTTGAGCAACAATTTCGGCTGCTCGGCTGGCATCGTCCAGGATCTCAGTACTGACGCCGGCGGGTCGAAGGAAAACACCATCCCGGCGCGAGACAGAATACAGCGCTACCGTGTGCTCAGATACGGCGCGCATCATGTCGAAGGGTAGCATCGAGTAAATATCTTAGAACGTCGTAGTGTCAGAGAAGATTGGCGCTGAGTTGGTCATTTATTTATAGGGTAGTTTATTTATGCGACGGGTATCAGACGCGATACCACGTGCTTTTAATGAACGCGTCGCGTCGGCGATGGCGTGTGAGCCCCTCAAACACGTACATAAACATAAACAAAAAAGACTTTTATATATGGCAGCCACCGTTCGCGAACGTGCTTCCTCGCTCTCGACAACGACGACCATGTCCACCAGCAGCAGCAGCGACGCGCGCGAGCCCACGCCCAACATGCCCACTTGGGTGAAGCACCTCTACGACGATAATCTCCCGGCGACAGGCGACCAAATGCAGCAACTGATGGATCTGGCAGAGCAGCGGATGGAGCGGGGTCTAGGGGTCTGGATGCAAGGCGGGTACAGTGTACAACAGGCGTGCAAGTGCTTGAGGACCGAGGTGGTAAGTCATGATCTTTCTATCGAAACTCACCATCCACATGGCGTGTAGTTATGTAATCGCCCCATCTACGAGTACGCCCGGCGCAAGTTTCCGGGGCAAACTATACCAGGCCCGAACGCGATGGCTGTCGCGGTTGCCGGCGGCGACATCAAGAAGCTACTCGATGAGATCCACGACCAGGAGTGGATTGCGGCGCGCACCCAATGGCGCTCAAGGCACTTCATCGCTGATGTGTCGCTCGGCGACAACCAGTGGTGGACGAAGCCGTCGAGGGGCGCCGGCGCACCTGGTAAGTTCTGTTATGGACTTTTCTCAGTCAGTTTCGGTCTGATGTTGCAACAGCGCGCGCACTCGCAGAAGGGAGCGGGTTCGACTACCGCCACCTCCCGCAGATTGCGGCCCCCTCTGAGCCTTCGAGCTCAGCCTCGGGCTCGTCTTCGGCAAACGCCCGCCGGGCAGTCATGGAGTGCGTTCTTGTTCCTACCTTGGCAGCGCTCGTGAGTTCGCGTTTAACGGCGTCCGATATCCTACAGTGACGCCAGGCAGGTCAAATCCAGGAAGCGGCGCCGACGTGAGGAGCTCGACGACGAGGACCAGGACGGCGCCGGCGCCGACGTGAACGAAGGGGCATCAAGTGCCAAGGGCAAGAAACGGGCGCGTACCAAGCAAGATCAGCGCAAGCCGCCCGCCGGCGCCGGCGCCGACGCTCTACAACCCGGCGAGGATACCATCACCGAGGTGAGTGATTAGTCCCGACAGATGGCGCCGCACTGATCTAACATTGACCTTTGCAGCCTCGCAAGCGCAACAAGTCGATCGCCGAGATCGGGCCTGAGGAATTGCTGCGAGACCCGGCGGTTCCCTGCACTCCGTGCACAACCGCTAGCATCCGATGCCGGCGAGTTGGGCGATGGACTTGCACGCCGTGCGCTCGGGCAAAAGTCCATTGCAACGTCCGCAAGCTGAACGAGGAGGCTGGGCACCCCATCGCCGACGAGACTCCTCGCCCAGGCGCCGGTGTCATCTGGCAGATGCCCAAGAGTGGCATGGATTGGAGCATGGGTGAGTCATTTTGTGCTTTCCTTTCCTCCCAATGCTAACCAGGCAGAACCGGGCGACAACGAAATCTACATGACAACGATCTGGAAAATAGTCCGCCCCAGCTCCACCTGTGAGTCCACGCTGTATACCATGCCGGATTTCTTGTATCCGCTAAGCGAGACAATGTCAGCGGGTTCGATCATGAACCGCGTTCGCGCCGAGACCTCCCTCGCCGATATTGCGACGGTGTTTGAGAAGATCACCATTCTTCCCAACTGGGAGGAGAAGTGGGGTGGGGAGAGGAGGACACCGCGCCGGGCTCGACAGTGGTACTGAATCGGCGCCGGCGGCGCATCTCAAATCAATGTACATAGAATTTTTACCATCTGCATGATCTTAGGGCATTCGTTACAGTAGAACTTGATTAATGTCATACATTGTTTCATTATTGCCTTGTTGAATTTCCTATAGCGGTTTGTACTATTGAGTCGGAAGCCAGTCTGACAAACTCAAGCTGCATTGGGTTTCGGCGCGCATCACATGACACTACCTGCCAGCAATAATCATGTGCGATGTTATGCACCTTTGTTGGGTACTGGCGGCTTCGGCGCAATGAATATGAATCAAGAGCGCCGCCACGATACCACATCATCCGCTTTGCCCCGGCGCAATACAGGTGGGCCCCCCGCCGACGCTGTCCCAACGAAATTCCAGTCGGCGCTGCTGAGCTTATCTAAATCTAATAATCGCCTTGCAACCACAGTCCACACTTCAGTTTTCTCGTCGAATTTTGTGTACTGTACTTTATCTCAATGCATTACATACTGGTTCATGCTCCATGCGCATCTTGTGATGCAGTGGGTGTTGCAGTTTGTTCCCAGCGCCACCCAAGGCAGTTTGTTGATCCCACCCAATATTGACCTGGGCAGATATGGGGATCTGTTACAACTGCCGGCAAAGATGAAGTGGTATATGCCTGCACCAGTGACAGAAGCAATCCAAACTGCCATTCGGCGCTTGGAACAACATTCATAGGATTTGCAAGCCAAGAGCAACTTGAGAGCGTCCAGCACCAGCGGCGCACCGCACGGCCCTGCACGGCGCAAGCTCGGGGATTGAACGCAGCATCCTTTTTTAATCACGTGATTTCCGCCGAGACTGACTTTGACTTGCCTATGGACCTCCATGACCGGCGCAAATCGTTGAGCTTGACACACATCACATGACCATTGCCGATTGTGATCCAAACTACTTACTGGACCGATAGGTGTGTCCTTCATCGGGGCAGGGATGATATTTACCGGCAACAGGCGAGTGGATTCGGCAATGACCACGTGATAATTCCATCCAGCAAATAATCATTCGCCGAGGTTAAGAGTCACCATCATGTCTAGCTGGCATTGCATCACGTGATATGGGCCGGAAGATGCCAACAGCACTTCAGCATAACCCTCCGGCGCTGAGAGCGTCATTCATGGGATTTGAACGCCGTGGACAATTTGAAAGCTTTCAGCGCCAGCGGCGCACGGCACAACCCTGCACGACACCAGCTTGGGCATAGCATCCGCTTTGAATCACCTGTTGCCGCCGAGAACCATTTAACTTATCCGTGACCGGCGCTCATCATTGGCGATAGGCACGTCCCCCATCGGCGCATAAATGAGATACACCTGGCAACAGGCGAGTGCATTCGGCGCCAACCATGTGACCGATCCAACCGGTAATAATCATGCGCCGTGAGGAAGATCTAACATGATGTCTGCTCGGCATTTATCACGTGATGTGCGCCGGAGGATGCCAAGAGCACCCCAGCATACCGCCGGCACCCAACTGGTGTGCATGAATCCCGAGCGCCGTAACGTCATCTGCTGGATTCTCGCACAATACACGTGGTGCACGCCTCTTCGGCGCATATCATGTGACTCCCCTAGCCAATATTTCGGCGCCGTGATTCCCCTACGCTGTTCATCGGAAGTGCGTTGCATCCCGTTTGTCCCAGTGTTCTTTGCGCCGGCGAGCGCCTTATCACCGCGTCCGCGCACACGACACCCTACCTCTCGCATGCGCCGGACACCGGCACTATATCATTGACTTATCGTCCGCGGACTCGATCAGTGCTTTACATGCATGCGCCGATG